TCCTTTTGGACTCAGGGCGGTGAACAGCCAAGTAAAACACTTTATATACAAAAGTTAAAATAGATTTAAAATAATTAAATAATTTGGCCCATAATTTAAAACATTTCAATTTAAAACCAATTTCAAATTTTAAAAACCCATCATAAAATCAGGACAGCCCGGCTAACTGAAAGAGGTAGGTTTTAAGGGCCCGACAAAAAGTCTGGAGGTTTGGGATCACTCGTATCTCTGGGGGTAGATTGTTCCAGAGGGTAGGTGCCACCACAGAGAAGGCTCCCCCCCTGGGGGTCGCCAGCCAACATTGTCTGGCCGACGGCACCCTGAGGAGGCCCTCTCTGTGGGAGCGAACTGGCCGGTGGGAGGCAATTGGTGGCAGAAGACGGTCCTGTAAGTACCCCCGCCCTAAGCCATGGAGCGCTTTAAAGGTGATCACCAACACCTTGAAGCGCACCCGGAAGTCCACCGGAAGCCAATGCAGCTCGCGCAGGAGAGGAGTCACATGGGAGCGCCCCGTCGCTCCCATAATCCCCCGCACGGCCGCATTCTGCACCAGTTGGAGCCTCCGGGTATACCCCAAGGGGAGCCCCATGTAGAGAGCATTACAATAGTCCAGACGAGAAGTGACGAGTGCTTGAGTGACCGTGCGTAGGGAGTCCCGGTCCAGAAAGGGGCGCAACTGGCGTATCAGGCGAACCTGACAAAAAGCCCCCCTGGCCACGGCTGTCATATGCCCTTCTAAAGACAGCCGCGCATCCAGGAGGACACCCAAGTTGCGGGCCCCTTCCATGGGGGCCAATGATTCGCCCCCAATAACCAGCGATGGCGTCAGCTGGCTATACCGGGATGCCGGCAGCCACAGCCACTCGGTCTTGGAAGGGTTGAGTCGAAGCCTGTTTCTCCCCATCGAGACCCGCACGGCCTCCAGGCACTGGGACATCACTTCCAAGGCATCATTGGGATGGTCTGGGGTGGAAATGTACAGCTGAGTATCATCAGCGTACTGATGGAACTCCACCCCAAAACCACGGATGATCTCACCCAGCGGCTTCACATAAATGTTGAACAGGAGGGGCAAGAGGACCGACCCTTGCAGCACCCCACAAACAAGGCACCTCGGGGTCAACCGCTGCCCCCCTGTCAACACGGATTGCAACCGGTCGGAGAGATAGGAGGAGAACCACCGCAAAACGGTGCCCCTCACTCCCAGTCCCTCCAGCCGGCGCAACAAGATACCATGGTCGATGGTATCAAAGGCTGCTAAGAGGTCTAATAGGACCAGGATAGAGGAATAACCCCTATTTATAAAGCGAAGGTTGGAGACTGGACGATAGTTAGCCAAAACAGCCGGATCCAGGGATGGCTTCTTGAGGAGAGGCCTCACCACCGCCTCTTTCAAGGCGGTCGGCAGGACACCCTCGCTCAAAGAAGCATTGATAATCCCCTGGAGCCAGCCTCGTGTAATCTCCCGGGAAGCCAGCACCAACCAGGAGGGACACAGGTCCAATAAACATGTGGTTGCGTTCAGCCGTCCCAAAATCCTGTCCACGTCCTCGGGAGCCACAGGATCAAACTCCTCCCAGATAACACTCTCAAGGCCTGCCTCAGTCATCTCGTCTGAACTAACCCAGTCGGCGACCAAGTCTTCCCGAATCTGAGTTATTTTATCATCCAGATACTGTACAAAATCCTCAGCTCGGCCCTGCAAGGGGTCCTCCCACGCTCCCAGATGGAGGAGGGAGCGGGTCACCCTAAACAGGGCGGCTGGGCGGTTATCTGATGATGCAATAAGAGCGGCAAAATAACTAGATTTCGCCGCTTTTATCGCCACTAGGTAGGTCTTAATATGAGACCTTACCAGTGTCAAGTCAGACTCGGAACGACTGGCCCTCCAACCGCTCTCTAGGCGTCTTTTCCACTGATGGTTGCAGTGTCCCAGGGCAGTGGTGGGTTGCTACCGGTTCGCCCAGTTTGGGTGAACCGGTAGCAGCAGCAGCAGGAGGCTCCGCCCACCTGCCTGGACATCATCAAATATGATCTGCGCATGCGCAGAAGTGGCGCGTGCACGAGCGAAGCGAGCGCGCTGTGCAAGTGAACTGGTAACAAAAGTATGTGAAACCCACCCCTGTCCCAGGGACACCTAACTGCCATTTGTGACCTTCCCAGATGGCTTCCAACATGCAAAGTCAATGAAGGAAGCCAGATTTGTTTAACAGCTATATCATTTAACAGCTACAGTGATTCACTTAACAACTGTGACAAAAAAAGGTTATAAAATCAGGCCCAATTCACTTATAACCACCTTGCTTAGCAACAGAAATTCTGGTCCCAATTGTGGTTGCAAGTTAAGAACTATCTGAATAACAGAATAAGAGAGTTGGAAGGGACCTCGGAGGTCTTCTAGTCCAATCTCTTCTGCTGAAGCAGAAGATCCTATAGTACCCATTTCAGACAAATGGTTGCTCAATCTCTTCTTAAAAACCTTCAGTGATAGAGCACCCACAATTCTGAAGGCAAGCTGTTCTACTGATTAATTGGTCTGTCAGGAAATTTCTTCTTATTTCTAGGTTGATTCACTCCTTGATTATTTCCATCCATTGCTTCTTGTCCTACCTTCAGGTACTTTAGAGAATAAGTTGACCTCCTCATCTTTGTGGCAGCCCCTTAGATATTGGAGGGCTGCTATCGTATCATGGCATACCTGTACAAAGTATGAGACTTAGAATTGTAGTTTTTTTACCTTTTCTGCTTCCAGATTCCTCTTAATTATTTCAGAATTTTAAGTGTTGCAATGTAGTGCCCTAATTTAATAGTGGTACCAGGTTCAAGGAAATCCATACTTTACAAATAATAACATTTGTCCAAAAAAAATAATAATGTGAAACTGAATTTTTGTGCCAAAGCCTATGTTTGGCTTTTTTCTTTTTCTTTTCTTCTTTTTTAACAAGTCCTAAAATTTCTGGATCCTAATGATGAGTCCATGTTTCATCTGCTATCATAATGATATGAAGAAATTTCTCACCTTCATTTTTCTAGTTGTGACCATTACTGACAAATCTTCACTCTTGGAGCTTTCATCTTTTCAGTCACTGTGCAAGGAAACATCTTGCACAAATCTTCCAGTATTGGAGAACAGTAATATGATTCACATGTTCCTGTGCAATGCCAAATTTGACAGCAATTATAGTTTGAGTGACCCACCAACCGGCAGTTCATCTCATTTGCTATGGCAGGTCATCCACTTCATTCTTGATCACACAAATCAGCTCTTTCCAGTTCACCATCTTAACATTTGTGGCTCAGTGACATCTAATATTCACATCAACACAGTCATGATAATAATAAAACAGCCTAGATTCAGTGACGAATTTCATTTAGAGGGATTATTCTGTCAGTCAAAAATTCAGTTATGGCACATTGCTTAAAGCACACTTTATGTTTTCATATGACAAACAATATCAATACCTTTTTTTTCCTTTCACAGCAGCTTCCTACCAAATGAAGTAAAAGAACAGATACTGCAAAACTTGTCTTTGCTTCCAGCATCTAAGCACTGCCATCTGTTGGCAAATCTTAACATTGGCAGATCTGTTGGCAAATCATAACATTACTTTTCATTTAACCTTTGTGAATACTTTGTCTCTCAGGAGCATGCAAGAATGAAAACTGATGGGCATCTCTACAGTCTTCTTATCAGCTTTACCAGCCGCACAATAAAACTCTTTTTTTTTTTGCTTCCACCTCCCCCAGATTTCTACAATATGACTTCCAAACTCCTCTAGAAGCAGGCCTGTCAAACTGGTGGCCCGCAGGCCGAATATATCATGCACAGGCCACACCAGATACGTCACACACAGGCCACACCCACCCCAGCTCCGCAAAGGCAAAAAAGAGTCATGATACGTCATGATCCGGCCTGTGACACGATTGAGTTTGACACTCATGCTCTAGGCTTTAACTAATTCATCTTAACTCAGTCTGCTCCAAGCACTAAAAGCTATGTATGTTTCTTAGACAACACTAAAAAAGGTCCATCCAAGCATAAATATCTATAGCAAACCAAGATTACATTCAAATGAAAACACATTGACTTCATGATGCAAAGGCTAGCCTTAAGTTCTGACACAAGCAATACATTGTGATTTTGTATTAGGGTTCATGACATATTTATCTGTTGCCTTCCCTCTCCCCACCCCTGTCCATGGATCTGAGGATAATATGAAGAACTTTATTCTTTGATTAACAACAAGAATCTAAGAACATACTTGTCTCCACTTATACATATTTAGGTATATTGCTGCTAGTAACATGGATATCATCACAGTGCTACAATAATTTATATATTACACTTGAGTAGTCCATTACTGACAACTACTTCTTATTTTGCTTTGATGTTTTTGTATTATTTGTTACATTATCTTGAAGTTATATTGAGGAACAACTAGATTTGAACTGGAACTGAAGGGTTTTTAAATTCAATAAATAAATAAATCCAAAAACAAAACTGGAGGTTCTTTGGGTAATGATTACCCCTCCCACATATGTGCTAGTCGTTCCTGACTCTAGGGGGCAGTGCTCATCTCCGTTTCAAAGCCAAAGAGCCAGCGCTGTCTGAAGACGTCTCCGTGGTCATGTGGCCCACATGACTAAACACCAAAGGCACATGGAACACTGTTACCTTCCCACCCAAGGTGGTCCCTATTTTTCTACTTGCATTTTTTACGTGCTTTCAAACTACTAGGTTGGCAGAAGCTGGATAAGTAACGGGAGCTCACCCCGTTACGCGGAACTAGGGATTTGAACTGCTGACCTTTCATTCGACAAGCTCAGTGTCTTAGCCACTGAGCCACAGTGTCCCTCATTGACAGATACAATACAATATTACCGGAGAAGAAGTTACGCAAGATTAGGTTAACAACTCTTAATGCCTTTTTGGCAATGTTATGAATAGAATAGAATAGAGCAGAGCAGAGCAGAGCAGAATAGAATAACAGAACAAAACAGAACAGAACAGAATCTTTTATTGGCCAAGTGTGATTTGACCCACAAGGAATTTGTTTCCAGTGCATAAGCCCTCAGTGTACATACAAGCAAGAAGTGATAAATCATGACCATAATAATAAAATACATTCATCATAAATCATACAACACTCAGTGATAATCATAGGATACTAAATAAGCAATCAACATATATCATACTAAGATACTTAGTCATAAAGGATAAGAAAATAGGTAATAAGAAAGGTAAGGATAATAGTAATACAACCCTACTTGGTAGCTTGTTTTGGTATGCAATGCCCTAGTGTTGTCTTGAGAGAAGGAATTGAAACAATTTATGTCCAGCATGTTAGGGGTCTGCAGATATTTTCACAGTCCTTTCTAGCTCATGCAGTATACAGGTCCTAAATGGAAGGCAGGCTGGTAGCAATTGTTTTTTCTGCAGTTCTAACTATCCATTGAAGTCTGTGTTTGTCTTGTTTGGTTGCAATGCCAAACCAGACGGTTATAGAAGTGCAAATGACAGACTCAATTATTCCTCCGTAGAACTGTATCAGCAGCTCCTTGGGCAGCCTGAGCTTTCTGAGTTGGCCCAAGAAGAGCATTATTTGTTTTCCTTTTTTGATGATGTTTTTGATCTTGGGTGCCCATTTTAAGTCTTGAGGTATTATAGAACCTAGAAACTTGAAAGTCTCTATGGTTAATATTGTGTTATTTAGTATTGTAGGAGGTGGTAGAATAGCAGGATTTCTCCTAAAATCTACTATCATAACTAGTTTTGAGTGTATTCAGTTCAAAATTGTTCTGGCTGCACCACAAGGCAGATTCGTTGAAAAAGCGAAGTAAAAAGTGACACCAGTTCAACTGAGCTAGATTATACTCAGGATACTGCCTATCAACTTAAACCAGGGGTAAAATCTACTTACCTTCCCTACCGGTTCGGAAGTGCATGCACTGTGCCTGCACGTCACATACACACCATGCATGCGTGTCACATACACACTTGGACAGTATAAAACAGATTACTTCCTGTTTAAGTAAGTAACAACGACCAGGCGGGTGGGTGGAGCCTCACACTGCCATCGCTACCGGTTCTCCGAACCACCCGCCGCCATCGCTACCAGTTTGGTCCGAACCGGTAGCATTTCACCCCTGCCTTAAACCTAAAAAACTGTGCAAATGTACATTCTGTACATCTGCAAAGATCATTGCAGGAGTCAAGTTTTTCACCTTGTAATTAAGGACAAGCAGCAAATTTTCTATACATTTCAATTGAGTCTCTTTGGGCATTCACCAGGGATGGGCAACTCTGGAACCTTTATGAACTTCAACTCCAGGAATACCTAAATTAGCCATTGCTGGCTCAGGAATTGAAGTCCACAGATTGTAAAGAGGTCATATAACCCCCCCACCCCCCACCCACTGCATATACCCTCCCCTAAAAGTATGAATGGCTTTGATTTTGGAATTGCATGTTTACACAATTGTAAACTCTTCAAGGTCAGCTAATGAATGTGTTCACAGCTTCCCCTGTTGGAGATGATAGTAAAAAGAACAAAAAATGGCAATTTGCATGGAATCTGTGCTTTGATCAACTTAAGTGCCCTAACAATATGGAATACTGTACTTATATGCAAACTTCTTCTGTTTTGGGATCACAGTGATTATGCAACCACTATTACAGGTAGTTCTCAATTTACAACTGGTCATTTAGTGACCATTCAAAGTTACAACAGAACTGAAAAAAAGGACTCATGACCAGTCCTCACAGGTCGCAGCCTCCCCATGGTCACGGGATCAAAACTCAAGATGCTTGGCAACCAGCATGAATGTATGACAGTTCTGGCATGCCAGTAATTGCTATTTGTGACCTTCCCAGCTGGATTTTAAAGTGTGGGAAATCAGATTCACTTAAGCACCATGTGAGTCACTTAACAACCAGAATAATTCACGTAATAACAGTGGCAAAAAAGGTCATAAATCGGACACAACTCACTTCACTGCCTCACTTAGCAATGGATGTTCTGGTCCAAATTGCAGTCGTAAGTGGAAAGCTATCTGAATTGTGTCAATGACATGTTTTATTAATAATTTTGTTTTAATTTTAGTAGCTGTTTTTTCTTTTTTGCAGCATCAGAACTCCTACTTAATTCTATATTTGTCATAAAAAACAAACGTCATCCAGAGTATAAAGAAGAGAGTAATAAACAGTTTCTATCATCCACTGTAGGGAGTACACTTCCTCATAAATTTGCTGATATTTGCAGAACAAATTCTTCCTTCTTGGGAAGCGTTATAGCGATTAAGTAAAATAGAAGAACTTTTAAATTTACCATCAGTTAATTTGGTGTTTAAAGGCTGCAATTGAAAAATAAATTAGGAAGCCAGAGGACAAACTAAAGAAATATGAAATACATTGCTTTTCCTGAAACCTCTGTCGCAACACTTCTCACATTTCCTTCTTGTTTTATTGAGATGTGGTAACCATGTTATTGTAAATTGCTGGAGGAGGAGGATTTTGTTCAGTTGTGACTGCTTCATCTCCCATAATTTGGTAAGGCACAAAATGATTGGTTGGCTGTAACAGAAAAGAATAGTTAATACAAAAAAATACTCAGGGACGCATCTGTTACTCTGGGTAGGAGGACTAGTTTGTCCAGTTGTGTGTGTTTAACTGTGATGCTGGCTGTCTCACCAACAGGTTGAAATCCTAGATCGCTCACAGTCCTGATAGAGAATTATTTAAAACTATACATTAACATTGCTTAACTATTACAGTGTAATCCGCCCTGAGTCTCTGGAGAAGGGCGGCATATAAATTAAAGCAAAAAAAAAAACCCAAGCAAATGATTTAGGGACTAGGCATTTCAGTAACTTTTCCTGATCAAAACTGCCAGCTTTATCTACACGTTTAGCTCAGGATCTCCCGTCTACTTATCAACAAGTGGAAGACAAACCCCACCCCCACCCCCGCCCCACTGAGTGTTCTCTGTATGGAATAGATGCCCTTCTGAAATAAAGATGGTACCAACTGGGATGGTTCTCTGGAAAGTGGTGAGTGGTAAGAGAAGTCAACTGGCTTCTTCTGAGGACCTTTGAGGACTGATTTTATTTTGTGTGTTAGGTTTTTATTGCAGTTTTATATTGCTTATATTTTATGTTTCTGTATTCATATGGTTACTGGGTTGTTGTGAATCTTCTAGGGTCCAGCTTAATTGAGGAGCATATAATTAAATAAATAATAATCTCATGATTTATTCACAAAAGCTATCAGATTATTAATTTACTTTAACAGTTTAAAGGCCCAAAGAAGATGCATTTCCTTCCGGGGAGGTTATTATTTTGGTTTCTATAATGGATTCAATTGGCAGTTCCTGTGAACTGATACAGGTATCAGAAAAATTTTTGGAGCTCAGGGTTGAAATAAGGGGACCTTGATTAAAATAAGGTCCTGAGTTTAGTTGTTTTTTTGCAGATGTTTTATTACCCAACTAATAAAACTGATGATGTTACCTAGTTTGAGTAATGAAACATCTGCAAGAAAACAAGCAAGCTAGAGAGCAACATGGACCCTAAGACAGGTATCTCAGTATGCTGACTTAGCTGCTTGCAATACAGTAGTGGCCAAAATTGTGGAAACCTTTTGGGAAAAGTGTATTTTCTAAAACTAGCTAATAACACCACATTTTGGGGGGGGGAGTAGTACCATAAAATTATATATCAATGGGAAAATAATTTAATCAAGAATGTTATGCAATAACTTTTATGAAGGATTTACTATTAGAATAGCAGTTACAGTATAAAGAAGAAAAGTAAAATGTAGAAATAATGAGATATACAAAAATTATCACGTCAGTTAATACTTAGTTGGGTAACCCTTAGCATGAATTAATGCCTTACAACGTCTTTCCAAGAAGTGAACCAAATCTTTTAGTTCTGAAGCTGTTATAATGTGAAACCAAGATTGAATTATTGCTTCCATTAACTGGGTTTTATTGCTGGGTGGCTTCTGACTTAACAAGTTTCTTTAGTTGGCTCCATAGATTTTCAATTGAGTTAAGGTCTGGGCTATTCCCAGGGCATTCCAGCAATGGAATAGGATTATCTTGAAACTCAAAAAAAAAAGTGGTGTTATTAGCCATCAAACCTCAAAAATACACTTTTCCCAAAAGGTTTCCACAATTTTGGCCACTACTGTATTTTTAGAGTTCTTCTGTTTTGTCAGGTCCGATCGTATTTACCCCCTTCAGTCTTTCTTCTGTCCCATTTTCTCCCTCTCAAATTAATCTAAAGCATTTCTGAAAGGTTGAGAGTATGTTTGTTATTGGTACAAAAGGAAGCCAATTGTCTAACAAGGGACAGACGTGGCTTTCTGACCCACCACAAAACTTGCCAATGCCAAATGTAGGTCCGTGGTTGGTAATTCAATTGTTTCCAACTGATTTTTTCAAAGGCCTTTGTAGTGCTGACAGAACCCCTTTATTACCAGATCTATATATGGAGATCTTAGGTAGCATATGGTGGTCATGTATTCAGTTGTTTGTCTGAGATTTAAAAATAATGTTATTTTTAAAAAAATGGTAGCATTGAGAGAAAATGTGATCAAGTGACAGATACTTTAAATTAATGTAGTCACACTACTAAAGTAACAATAGTTAGAACTGAGCCCTCTAAAATGGAGACATCAACTTCTGCATCACTGAATTATAAATCAGTGATATATAAATATCATATAATAATATATTATATTATATTATATTATATTATATTATATTATATTATATTAATAATATATATAATATAATATAATATAATATAATATAATATATTATATTATATTATTATATTATATTATATTATATTATATTATATTATATTATATTATAAATAGCATATAAATCAAATAAATAAATAAATAGACCACACAAACTGTGTTATATTCATGACATTCACTCTAGCAAAACAGAAGCTGGGAAAAATTCACATCATCTAATTATTCATATGCAGAAGCAAATAAATCACAGGATGTTGGATCACAATTCAAACGTCTCCTAGTTATAAAGCTTATTGGGTAACATGAGTTACCAATTTTTCTCACAAATTGTTCAGGGTAATAGCAAAGAAACAAGCAAAAGGTCAGGTTAGGTGGAGTGCAAATATAAAGAAGAAAAACAGACAATCTTCTTTACATTCTTTAACAATGAGAACTGCTAAAGCTATTATTGAAGTATCAAATAGTTACCTGGGCACCACTACAGCAAGTTGCCTGGCACCCAAAATGAGCCAGGGAAACAGCGATGCAAAACTCCAGCAGGCTGAACAAGAGAAACAGACTGGAGAAGCCATAACTGACTTGCCGTACAGTATCCTGTAGACATGTGGAAAGATAGTTGTAATTTGCTGAGAACTTAATGTAGTGGTATGTATTTTATTTTACTTTGTGCTTCATTATTAAAAGGGATCCCCAGCTGCTTCCAGTGATCCCTCCCACTGCATGTCAGTGAAATATGCTTTCTTTTGCTTACCTCCAATTCCTCTGCTTCCTTATTTAAAGGGACATGTTCCCCACAACAAGGTGTTCAGGTTAGGATGACCCAAACACATTAGAACATTTTGGGTGTATGTTCTCCTAAATTACCCCAAGAGTCACAAGGGACAGAACCCACAGCAGTGAAAGCAAACTAATTCATTCTGCACCTGCACATTTTCCTTATTTGGAAAATATACCATCTCCGTTCCTGTCCCCCTGGACCACTTATAATCATTCAGATAAAATCTGATTTGTACCTGTTGCTTTGGAAGAGCCTTGTTTCAATGTGTGGTATCTCCTGAATCTAATCAACTGAGTCAAAGTACTATGTGTGTAACTTATCCTTGAATAAACATCAAAAATAATGAAGGCAGCAAATCCCTAGTCCCTATTGCCAGTCCCTTTCCTGCCCATTGTTGCACCTGTTCTGATTTACTCTTGAATGTTATTGCCCTGGCTTCTAAAAACCCCACCTGTTACAGACTAGTTTTCTCCTCTGACTTTGCTGCCATCCATTTTCAGCATATCATCAGTCAATAAGGAAAACATCCATCACTCAGGGTACTACAACAGAAATGGGGAATCTGCTGTACCTTCCTTCCACCCTCAGTTTGTGCATCTCTCAAGTTAAATTTAAGGTAAAATAAATACATATGAAAAGACAATGGGTACTGATAGCAGGAGCACTACTAATCTTCTGAAAAGAGGAAAGCAGCTCATGCCACAATTAGATGTATCCTGCAAAGTAGAAGATCTGAAACAGACTAGCTGAAGCCATCATTTCTGCCAGAGAAGGGCAGAGAGATTAAACCATACTACAAATAGATTTATTTTACTTAATTAACAAATGTAGATACTGTCCACCTCACTGTCAAAGTAAATAGGTGTATTGTGTTTGCCCTTCATTTCCCAATAGGAAATTTAGAGGGCCTGTTTTCCTGCTGCCTGGAGAGAAGTAATGGAGGAGAGGGTCTAGGGAGATTCTCAGTCATCCAGGCCATGGTTGTCCCAAAGGTGCTTTTTCAAGAGACAACTGGACTTGCTTGTTTTCCTGTGGAGAAGTTTTGCTCCAAGAAGCTTCTTCAGCTCTGACTGGATGGTGGGGAATGGAAGGATTTATACTCCTTGCAGACTGCTGGTCATTTGCATCCTTTTAGAGGGTTGTTGAGGCCACCATCCAGTCAGAGCTGAAGAAGCTTCTTGGATGAGAAGCTAAACGTCTTCATAGAAAAACACAGTCCAGTTGCCACCTGGAAAAGCACCCTTGGGATGATGGAGGAGAGGGGGGGGATGGATAGGAGACCTCAAAAAAAAAAGTGCTAAGAGAGAAGAAGAAAGAAATGGTTAAGACAGAGGCTGGCTAGTCCAAAGAGGAAAAGCGACAGGCCTCCCCACTGTCCTAACATATCCACTCTTGGTCACCCGACTTTCTCTCCAAGATAACGGGGGAAGGGAAATAGATTTTATACACCTTGAGGCTGTGGTTGGATGGGCTCAGAATAAGAGAGAGGAAAAGACAAGTTTTATACCAGTACAGCTAATAATGACTTATTCACATCAGGTCTAAATCTTACTCATGGGCTGAGGATAAAGTAAAGGCAATCTCATGGGAAAATTGGCATCAACAGAATATGGTTAAGGGCAGCCAACGTGATTTAGATTCAGCCAGTCTAAGATATATTGTTTCCCCTCCTCAATAAGAGTGCAGCTAGATCTATTTTCTTTACCCAACTTCTTTCCAATCATCTGTCAGTCTGGAAAGGAAAAAAGTCCTGGATGTGATACTACTATGATTTAACCCTAATAAGAAAGCAAAGGACAGCACTTTACAAAAAAATACTAAAAATTCAAGCCATTGATCCCAGGTATCAGTGTGGTTCTAAACTATCCACACTTCAGAAATTACCTAAATTACAGTTTTCTAAAACTGGGTGGCAAATGTAAAGAAGGGATGAGGATGTGGGGGTGGCAGGAAATGAATAGATTTCAACATGTACAGCTAGGCAACTAGAGAGATGGAAATGGAGAAATACTATGCTATTTAGAACTCTTACACACTCCTTTGTTTTGCATGACCACCCTAGACCTACTGTAAAACAACCAATTTTTATACTGTACAGAGACATAATCAATAGGTATGTCTAAAACACATTTACCACTTTTAAAAAATCTATCTCCCTCCCCACCAAAAAAACAAAAACTGGAGAAGAAAGAAGTCCTACACACTTTTTGCCTCGATGATCAGAATATTGCTTGCCCTTATTTAACATGTATAGGTATAGGTATAGGTAAAGGTAAAGGTTCCCCTCACACATATGTGCTAGTCATTCCTGACTCTAGGGGGCGGTGTTCATCTCCGTTTCAAAGCCGAAGAGCCAGCGCTATCCGAAGACATCTCCGTGATCATGTGGCTGGCATGACTAAACACCAAAGGCACACAGAACGCTGTTACTTTTCCACCAAAGGTGGTCCCTATTTTTCTACTTGCATTTTTTACATGCTTTTGAACTTCTAGGTGGGCAGAAGCTGGGACAAGAAACGGGAGCTCACCCCATTATGCGGCACTAGGAATTCGAACCGCTCAACTGCCGACCTTTCGATCAACAAGCTCAGCATCTTACCCACTAAGCCACCGCATCCCTTCATGTATATGTATATCAGTGATGGGTTCCAACTGGCGTTACCACCAGTTTTCTTCATGCACACGCTTTGCGCAAGCGCGTTAGGTATCTGCCCAGCGGAGGTGCGGCAATCCACTCTGCCGCGCCTGTCAACTGGGCTAAAAAAGAAGAAATAAAGGTAAGAATAACGTGGGGGCGGGTGGGAGGGCCCAGCTCCCAAGCAAAGAGAACTAGTTTGGTGATGTCACATCGTCACCGCTACTAGCTTGGCTGAACCAGGCCGAACCAGGCGCAACCCACCACTGATGTATATGTATATGTATATGTATATGTATATGTATATGTATATGTATACACACACATATGTACGTATACACACACATACACACATACATGTCTTTGGGACTGAGACTTATTCAAGGAAAGATTTCAAACAAAAGTCAAAGGGTTTGGGATATCCCAACTGCATACATAATCTCCTTCTGGATTCTGCACGTGAAGCTAAAATTTAAAAAGAGGTTGGTTTACTTACAATTACAACTGTAGCATTATTTACAGGAATAGTGATGATGATTATCTTGCACGTATAGAGGATGATACCAGTTAATGCCATTATAGCACTTGCGATGTTCATTCCTACACTGGATTTCACCTGAAACAGCAATACACCAGAAAGAGAGAAAATACAGTTACGGTGTCAGCATAGGTCTTATTAAATACAAAGCATAAAAACATTAGACCCAGCTATGGGAAAAACAGCGACAGAATTCAATCTATGTGTATGTTTAATGACCCATAACCAGTCAGTGGTGAAACCAGACAACATCCATTAAAATCATAGATGTCAAACAGCAGCAGCAACAGAGTTTTCCACAGTGGAAAGGCAAACACCACAATTCATTTGAAGATTTTTCACTGTCAAATTTCTTGTTCTGGATGTCAGTCTCCACTCAAGGCCAAATGGTTAACAGTGACAGGAAAACTGGTAAGGATTATTCATCCTTAATGTTTCGGTTAAAGAAACCCTGCACTGTTTATTTTAGGGCACAATGCACTCTAAGTGTTAAATGTTAATGTTAAATGCTCTTTAACATTATACAACATTAAAGTGAGGCTACTAGAGAGATGGGAATGGAGAAACCCTTGGAGCCAGTAGTGAGAATTCTGAACATTTAAAAATTGCTCTGTCTTTAGTTCTCCCCTGTCAGGAATGTAGTATTTTTCTATCAAGATGGTAATTTTTCTTTTTTTGAATCCACACTGTATTCCTTTACAAGACAAAAACATTTCTATGTTGCCATGAACCAGGATGGATAAAAATCAATTTTTTAAAAAATAAAAAAAAACTGATTTTTTTAATTTAAATCAGATTGTTTTTATTTTTATCAAATTTATTTTAATAAAATGCTTTTGGAATAAAATCTATCTAAAAATGATTTTCTATTTAAGATACATTACTAATTTAGTTTATTCAGCATGAAATGGAGCTTAGTTATGTAGCATGAGGCTGTATATTCTGCAATATTCGGACTGTTGGTGAGTCAACAGCAGGTGAGAGGAGGAGCTGCTGTGGGACAGAGATGACGAAAATTATGATTTAAATTGACTCTTTACTAGAGGGGAGACAACTTGATTTAAATCAAATCCACCCTGCCATGAACACATTTTAAATCAGGGGAGGGAGAGAAAGTAAGCTCTTTGTAGAAGTAAGTAAGTAAGAAAGTAAACTTTTATTGCGGTCAAAGACCAAATTAAAATACACATAGAAGGGGAGTATATTTTACAAATATAGATAGATCATGTGACAGTACACCATCTACTGCCTTAGATACACTCTGTACTAACAATACTAATGATCCTCTGCCGTAGGGGTTACCCGTCTCTTCCCCTGTTTTTTTTCAGCCACGACTGCAGGAAAATTTTTTGCCACCTTTGGAGTTATATTGGGGTCTGTGTCCTGGAATAGGAAATAAAGGCTGAACAGATCAGGTGAACCAGGGAATCTCTGGGAAATAGGAGAAATGAATCTTGATCTTATGTCTCAGTAGTGGGGACATGCGAATGTAATGTGGAACAGAGATTCTGGTGATCGGCCATCACATGTACAATAGATGGATTTTACTCCCCCCAAGAGCCTACTGTTGAGGACACTCGAGGGGATCACGTTAAATCATGCCTTCATAAATGCGAGTCTATGTTTGATAGAGTGTAACATGGAGAGATAAGGTGGAAGGTGAGGCAAGGAAACAATACCAAGGGAAAATGGTAAGCATGTTCCCGATCCGTTTGCCAGATTTAATTGTCTATCAATGTCGTCCAGCCATTGAAAAATCAATGATTTGGCAGCATCAGGGCCTAAAATAAAAGCTTCAATGGGGGAAATCCCGATCTTCAAAAGTTTTGTATGGATATTATGGGCCCAGGGACTATGAAAAGGGTCTCGCCATAGGCATTGGCCTAAGTAATAGCCTGGGAGTCTAGTCCACAGGGACAACCAATAGCCAATTGCACGTTTCCACAAGATTGTAGCCAGTGAGGATATGCCCAGTTCCAAACAAATTGTGGCATTACTTACGCAGGGAGGGACTCCCATCAAACGGCGTAGGAACAGGCTGTGGGCAGACTCAAGAGAGGAAATGCTGGATTGGACCCAGAGGGGGGCGCCATAGGTGATAGCAGTTATCACCTTTGCCCTGTAGACTTTTATTGCTGAGGGGATGTGATGAGCTCCCTCAGTATGAAAAAAGTGCACGAGGGCATGGGTGGAAATCTTAGCCTTATTACAGAGAGACTTAACCTGAGCAGGCCACTTGGTATCGGATTGAAAGAGGATACCTAGATATTGAAATCTGTGGACCTGTTCCACTGGGATGCCATCAAGGTTCCAATGATAAATTTTCCTGCTTCTTGCAAAAACCATGATTTTAGACTTAGAATGGTTTATATGCAGTTGGTTAGCAGAGCAATAAGCAGAAAGGGTTTTTAAGGCTCTACATAGGCCCACCCGGGAAAATGAAAGTATTGCGGCATCGTCAGTGTAGAGCAGGAGCGGACATCTATAATCAGCTAATCTAGGGGCATGGATGTAGACCATGTGATCCGAAAATGCCTTTCTCCAGTCACTGATATATAAATTAAAGAGAATGGATGCCAGTATACACCCCTGCCTAACACCCTTGTTAACTGGGATAGCATTAGAAAGATCCCCCTGCGGGGTAAGGCGTACTTTTGCTTCTGTTCCGTCATGCAATTGGGAGATAAACCAGAGTAATCTTTTGTCAATACCCCAGGCGGAAAGTTTGGCCCACAACTTAGCTCTAGGGATGCTGTCGAAGGCAGCCTTTAGATCTATAAAGGCAACGCAGAGACGACCCTTCCTGGGGGTAGAATATTTTATGGCAAGATGGTGGAGGATCAAAGCATGGTCAATTGTAGAGTGGTCTGGACGGAACCCCGCCTGCTCATAACCGAGCAGGTCGGCCTCTTCAGCCCAGCACTCCAGTTTGGACAGGAGATAGCGGGCACAGAGTTTCCCCAAAATTGAAAGAAGACTGATGTTATGGAAGTTGCCAGGATCGGAGTTGGTGCCTTTCTTATGTATTGGGATGATTATGGCATCCTTCCAGAGCCTGGGGATAAGGCCTGTTTGGTTGATCGCATTGAATACCTCGGTAAGAACCGGGGTCCACCAGTCCTTATGGGCTAGGATGGCTTCGGCTGGGATGAGATCTGGGCCGGGGGCTTTTCGAAGTTTGAGTTGTCCGATTAGCTTGGCAATCATGGATGGTTCAACAGGAGGCCATCTGGGAAGGTGGTTAGGAAGAGAGCCTGAGGTTGAAGAAACTGGCACGTCAGTGTCGTAAAAGACTCGGCGTAGAAAGAGTTCCCATGTAGTGGCAGAGATGGAATGAGTGAGCCTACTAGTTGGCCTCCTGTTTAACAGACTCCAGAAATCTCGAGGGTTGCTGGATTTCGCGGCCTCTAATAATGCGTTCCACCTTAGCCGGTGCCAGTCTTGCTTAGCTCTTGAAAGGGCTAGCTTGTATGCTTTCTTGGCCTCGAAATAAGCAGGGGGGGGGCGTCGATGAACCTGTTCGTTTGTGGGCAGAATATATAAATCTCATATGGTTCCTGGCTTGTTTGCACTGTGAGTTAAACCAAGGGGCTCCCTTCCTCCGGGAAACTCTACCAGGGATAAGGGTGGGGGGCTGAAAAGAGGCTATAAGACCGTTTCCACTCAGTGAAGGTGGTCAGTAGCACACCAGGTGTGGCCTTGGTGCCGATTAAGGCTGACAAGGTATTGGCTGCTTCTTGATGATAAAAGCGTACGTGGAAAAGGGCCAGAGACTTTGACCATTTTGGCAACATCGGGGAGCCTCTGGGATTAGAGTCTATTGAGACAACGTGAGCGGGATGGCCTTGACGTCTATATAGCCGTGCAACCGTAATGAGAGGAAGGTGGTCACTGAAAATCCTGTCGTCTACTTTGAAGGAAGAAATGTATGGCAAAAAGTATGGTCTCGAAACCAAAGTATAGTCTATTGTGCTGTTGCCATTTTTGGCCAAGTGGGTAAATTCCCCGGGGACATCTGGGGCACATCTGCCATTAAGGGGGAAGAGGTCTAGTTTGATGGTAAGGAGAGCTAAACAGGTCCCCACTTTGTCAACTTTCCGATCCTTGGAAACTCTCCCTTTCAGGGTATCCAGGGGATGGTCATCCCTGGCCGGGCCTGTCCACCAGCGAAAGGCAACTAGGGTTTCCCAAGTCCCCGCAATGCGGCGTTTAGATCCCCCACCAGAAGAACCAGAGAACAAGGGAATCTAAGTATGATGGTAATGAGAAAGTCTTCCAGACCGGCCCACAGCTCATCCAAGTCCCGGTGAGAGCCCCCGGGAGGAAGGTAGACATTAAACACCAGGAGCGAGAGCTTCCCAATGGATATCAAATTTGCCTGGGCATAAGGGGGAAGAGAGTCCACAAGAGCCACATTTGCGTGCAAATCCAGGGAGATACCTGTTGCAAGGCCCCCCTTCGAACGACCACCAAGCAGTGAGGGACGGGCTGGCAGGGATATGATTTCAAAACCACATAGCAAAATGTCATTGACCTCCCACGTTTCCTTAAATATGAGAATTTGAAAGTTTTTGAGGTAGTTCAAAAAGTCCGGGTCGGCTTTTTTGGATGCCCACCCTGTGATGTTCTAACTCATGATGGACCAAGGAAGAGTTGGAGAGTGGATCTTTGACTGTCATTTAGAAGGAACAGGGGGCTGGTGGAGGGACCAGGGGACAGTTAGACTGAAAAAATCTGTTATCTTGCCTTGGTTTCCTTGCTTAGTTTTAGGGTCATTATTAGTTCTTGAAGAATTCTGATGGGAAGCCAGATTTGGACTGAGGTTATCGTCCTGGTCTCGGTAGTGGCTTGAATGTCGTACAGGTAGAACTGTCAGGGGAGACAACTGTATGGTGTTATTGTCATCAAAAGAAATGCAGCCGTTATGTGATTTGGTGATGATAGACGGGGAAAGAGGGGGAGCCCGAGGGGTCTGAAAGATCAAACCAACCAGTTATGGGGACTGAGAGTGTGGCATTTTGGGAGGCGAGATTCTCGGAGGAGGAGGGGAACAAGTGGTCAGAGATAAGGGGCCGAGTCCTGATAGGCCTTCAGAATCAGAGGTAGAGAGGGATTGATCTGGGAGCGCAACATTTCTAGTCCAGAGGTCGTCCTCCTGTTGTTGCTGGGTCGCCAGCGGATTTGTGGAACTGGTAGTTGAATCCCTCAAAAGGCTACCAGCTTCCGTGTGAAGGTCCTTGCACTCCGTCCCCATCCGACGACAAGTGTCCACGTTGATCGGCTTCCTCCCAAGGGAGGATAGATGGGTATTTATAAAGCATCTCTGAGGGAAGACTCCAAAGTGGGTCAGATGGTTGCGAAGACCACATAAAAGTGAGGGGGTCTTGGATGAGCTGAATTTGAGAATCAGCCGTTTGTGGTGGGATGTGCTAGGAAGCTATTCCACAGAAAGCAGCTCATTGTTCAGGATGTGAGAATTGGATAAGAGCCTCAATGTGTCTAATATGGTTTTACGGTTGGTCCAGTCTTGCTTGTTAAAGTGAGAATGGGCCAGGTTCAGACATAGGTTGGCTGAGAGCAATTGGAGATTTACTAACGGCGTCAGTCATGGAGGGAGATGGCTATCCATTCGGGACGGGCCCAGTGCATGTCTGTTGGTTCCACATGAATGTGATGCTGAGGCTGACTTACTAAGGGATTCCACTTTGCCGTCCAGCACTCCAACAGAGGATGTCAAAAGGGTAATAGAGTCGGCCAGACGGAGACAGAACTGTTGCAAAAGCCGGATATCCGAGGGCTGAACTGAGTCGATAGGGGACGGCAAAGCAGTGAAACAGGGCAAGACAGAACTAGCATCTGATGGTGTCAGACAGTCCAGCAAAGAAGGTGTGTTGCAGAGTGAGGCAGCCAGGGATTCCGATTCTTCCAAAGGAGAGGTGGGCAGAGACTCCAGAGATATTAAAGTTTGGAAGAATTTGTCCAAGGAAGTAATTGATATGTTCGGATTTTGGTTCAATTTCATGGTGTTAGTCTTTTTGATCTTAGGCAAGGGGCCCATTGTGTTTTCAAGGGAGGTCTCCACACAGGGGTCCCTCGGGAACAAGGAACGACAACGTTTGTGTGGACTCATATCAGGGCAGCCAGTTGATCTCTTGATGGAGGATATTGGGTAATAATAAGGCCCAAAGCAGGTTAACGTTCTGATAGTAGATTAAAACAATCCCTGGCTTATAGGGGAAAGGTTAGAAACAAATCATATGGGTAAAGCTTCAACAGAGGTCAGCCCATATACATCAAAGCAGTCAGAGCAGTTAAAGCAGCTCATAGGCAACATTTGCCGAGTTGTTCGTAAGCAGTATGAGTAATGAAGGCAGGGCTCTGGGCCAGGCAATTAGGCCTAACAAACAGAGATATCAGAAGAATTGCAAAACCGGGCTCATTGCCAGAGTAAAATGGGAGTTGCCGGGAGAGAGTTGAAAAATTAACTGGTATGCAATTTTGCATTAAAACTCCCCTGCAAGAATCGGGGGGTAAAAGCTGAAAGCACAGTTAAAAAGAAACCGCAATAAAAGACGTAATAAAAACTTAAAAGCCGAGCGAGAGAAGCATATATCCTACCAGTCCTCCATCTTGGAAAGCCCTAACTGGAATAGAGACAAGGAACAGTCACAATAAAGAGGAAGGGACTTTTTTCGCTCTTTGTAGGAGGGCTACCAACAGCTCTCTCTTTGATTCCAGGGAGGATTCCCACACTTGTTCCATACTTTTACTCCTAACATGTTGAGCTGATTCCTAATGTTGTTTTCATGTTGGAACACTTTTGAAACAGGAACCTCTATCAAGATGGAGAAAGAGGAGGAAAAGGAGGAGAAGAAGGAGGCGGCATGTTGGGGCTCTGGTTCAAGACTAGAGAACTCAAGAAGACACCTTTTTGCTCAGCAACATTACTAGTAGCAATTAAGGAAGCTCTAGTAGAACAAGCACCCACATCATGGTCATTGACTCTCTCAAGCTTCTCTCATTTTTGTCATGGAACTGATAGGACCTGGAGTGTTGCAGGTTGCACATCAGGAAGGGAACTTGGCAAGAAGCCCAACGCAAAATGGGGACCAGAGGAGGCTCAAATTCTGGATGATTAAACATTCCCTACTGTTGACATAGAACTTTCAATGGAAGCAGGACTTGGAAGTAAAAGTTGATCGAAGAAGGAAATGGGTGGGTCTTTTGAGTTTGCTTTTCTTTCCTAAATGTTGATTTACTAACTGAGCAGTATCTGAAGAGAATTGACAAAATAAAAGGTCCTGAGTGCTTATAAAAAGATAGCATAAAGGAAATTCAAATGCTACATAGGTTTCTCACCAAATCAGGACTTGGATGGGTCATAGCTGCTACACATAGTGATCCAGTAGAAATGAACTATGGTAAAAGAAAGAGAAAAGGATTTATTTTGGTCCACTGGAAATATCAACAGAAAAAAATTCAGAAAAATCTGGCACTCATGAGAAGCCATATAGGCTCCAATGCCAACAGGACTTTTATAGGTACCTATATCTGTTGGCCATTACTACCACGGTGTATGACTCAACAAAAATGTACATATACTTACAAATAATCCTCCCCAAAAGGGATAACCTCCAATTCCATTCAAGGTAAAATAGTGAAGAGAAAATAGCTGATGCGAGACAGCCCCAAAGCCAACGTGGAGCAACCCAATCATGATTTGGATGGCCTATGGAAGGAAAACACACAAAATAAGACCAGTTCTCTGAATCTGGGAAAGACAAACATGCTAATCTGTTACCACCCCAGGAAAGACATGATTTCTATCCATCTTTGAAAAATCCTTCAAAGAGATTGGGGCTTCTAAGCTTGCAGTGCAGGTGTTGACCCAATGCCTGGTTTCCTATGGTGAAAAATCCAAATGGGGAGAAGGGAGAGATTGAGACACCATTGTCATTATGGACCGGACATTTACTCCAGATTATGATCTAGTTTGGCCCTCAATGGGTCTGCTTTTGTCAGGAAGGAGGTCTGTAAGAATATCATGATGGGCTTTTAAGAGAAAAATGACACCTCTCACTACAGGCTCCTCTGCAGGAGGAAGTTAATCACAATCATAAGCAGAAAGTGACTTCAACCAGCTTGGGCTGGAGCCAATCCATGACCAGGTTCTTCTGAAAAAATGCCCAACAATTGCACTTCTCAGAGGGAAGGGATAAAATCAGGGGTGAAATGCTCCCGGTTTGCTAGCGATGGCAGCGGGTGGTTCAGAAACCGGTAGCAGAAATCCCTGCATGCCCCCCACCCATGCCCAGCTGAGTCGCACGATTATCAGAGGCTCTTTTTTTACTTTTAAAAGCATTTTTTCTACAACCTCTTCAGTTGAAAAAATGCTTTTAAAAGTAAAAAAAAAAAAGCCTCTGATGATCACACAGCTCAGCTGGGATCGTCAGAGGCTTTTAAAAGTATTTTTTTTACAACTTCTTCGGCCGAAGAGGTTGTAAAATAATGCTTTTAAAAGTTAAAAAAAGAGTTAGCCATGCCCACCCAGTCACATTACTCTACCACCACCAAGCCATGCCCACAGAACCGGTAGCAACTAATTTTATGTTTCACCACTGGATAAAAAGAGATCTGGCTGAAACCTTGGCTGAGCTCCACTTTCTCAGTTAAAGAGCAAAGCAAAAGAATGCATGTCCGAATTAGAATTTTTTGTAGAAACACAAATGAAACTACCAGGAATAAAAGAGGTTTCTGGAGTATATTCCAGAACCAGACAACAACCAAGCCAAATTCCAGGACTTCAACATGGGGCTCTCAAGTCTTTACATAGCCAATAAAATCTTAATGGACTTCAAAGCAACGCATGCTTACCCCAAGCACTTTGGGCTCAGCCTTGAGGAATCTCTCCAAAGGACCGTTTTGTGGGACTTGTTGAGGAGCACTGGTGGGAATTTGAAGTTGCTGAGCTCCATAGAGAAGATATGGAGTTGCTCCAGATGCCTGAACAGCAATACTGGGCAATCCAGGGGTTGTTTGGATCATGTTTGCTCCATTAGAGGGGATGAAAAATGTGGTTCCACTGGCCATTCTTGCTGGAAGTGTTGCCACAACTAAATTACCTGCAAACAAACAGGTGAGGAAAAGTTAATACCTTAACATCAAGGAGGCAGATTCTGGTCCTTCTCCTTAATCTCACTTTATGAGATAACATTTGCCTGTACTAAAACTGAAGAAGATTGCCAGAAGGGTTCAGGGAACAGGTAGTAAAACATACAACTTTCTCAGGGATAGAAATCCTTCCTTTCCCCACCATTCAGCCAGAACTAAAGAAGTTTCTTGCTTGATAAGCAAAACGTTTTCAAGCAAAACAAAAAAAAACCCAAAAAACCCTCCAGTTGCCTTTTGAAAAGCACCTTTGGGACAACCATGACCTGAAGGATTGAAAATCTCCATAGATATCAGGGAGAAAAGGTTAATCAGAACATGGAGAACATGCTTATATTAGATTTTTCAACTCAAAAAGTGTCTTTCTCATCTTAGTACCACCTCAGATCCACCCAGCTAAATGGCATTTTTCATTTGGGCAAAGTTTTATTGTACTTGCCCCACTGTCCTGTTATTGGCAGATGGATCTAAAGGCATCAGGCACGGATGAGCATACTGATTGACTCCTTCCCGCAAGTTCATACCGATTTGGACAGAACAAGTTACTGTGAAGGACACAAGAGCAGGGATCTGTATCCCACCTTTGCTTCATTGATGTGGGGAGGTTTCTTATTAGAACACAACTGGACCACCAGCCTGAGTTTTCTGACAAAACTCCCGACAACCTCAGAAAGCAGTGAAGCGATTCAGTAAAGTCCTAACTGCCATCGGCATCTAATAAGGCTCCGGATTTTTAAAACTCTGACTTGGCCAATAATCTCATGGTTAGAATTTGTACAGACTTTAAGAGGAAGCTACTACCTTCTTGAGCTGTATTAATTGGAAGTCAACGTTAAAATCGACTCATCCACCCACCTTTGAACGGTGAACTTGGAATGTTGAATTTTTGTAAGTTTACACGGCGCCTTTTCTGGGCACTTCTATCACGGCAAGATTTACGGCAAAGTCTTCCCTGTCCGCTAATTCTCCCCTGAAATCCTCCCGTCTAGAAGACCTGCGGTAGCTGAGAAAACCGCGGGTCACGGGTGGGTGGCTGCAGGGGAGAACCGGCAGGCACGGTTAATAAGACGGTTTTTAATTAGACATCTAATTAAAAAGTAATCAGAAACTACTCACGACAACCGCTCAAGACGAAGCACACGGAAGCCTCAGGAAAAACGAAAGTAAGATAACAGGAAAAAGTGGTGGGCGGAGTTCCGCTGTCTACTAAAAGGAGGGATTTACTCAGAGCTTAATCGAGGACTCCAGGAAAAAAAACTTTTCTTGCCCCTTTAACTGTTGGAAGAAATAACAGTTTGGAGCCAGGAACCTTCTGCTTGTTCAGAGATGAGAGGGAAACTGTCCAAGTTTATAAAGTCCTGTTATTCCCAGACTAAAACGAATGACTGAACTCAACCTCATCCCTCGGCGTCTCTTTCGCCTCTTTCTCCCAAAGTACGCAAGTCCCGCGCTTGGAGGGGCTCATTTTCAACCCCTCGGAGGCTTCCACAATCTCTGCAGGAATCGCCAGAAATAAAAAGGAGACGCGCGTTGCGATCACAGCCTCTCCATTCCTCCCCTTCCCTCCCCCGAGCTCTGTAAGTAGCCCTCGTCCAGCGGAGGATTCTTTTTCCCCCCACCGGCGTTTTCTGTAGCTTTCGGGTTGCTCTTTTTAGCGCTCGAACAGGCAAAACCACAACGGTGTGAAGGGGAGGCTGGAGGGACTCGATCCCAGCCTCCGATTGCGCTCCTTGCGAAACTCTCCCTGGAAACCTCAGAGGCCGCTGAAACATCTGGACCGCATCGTTTAGCCAATAAGCAGATGCCAAAGCCAAATCCTCTCCGTGTAGTGGCAAAGTTAGGATGGGTAAATTATGTTTCCTTTTGCACTTAAACTGAAAGCAAAAAAGCAAAAATTTGCTTTTTGGTTGACTCCTCCTTACGATACATTTCCTATCTATTGGAGAGACCCCCCCACTTCTTTCGGTGTGCATGTTAACACGTGAGCGCCCTCTGGAGTCTTGATCCTCCTATTGCTGTTTTGTATTGGCTGTTCTACGAACGTCTATAGGGGTGTGGAGGGCAGGTCGCTTCAATACTTTAATAAGTGTTTTAGAGGGGGAGACGGCTTGTGACCTCCCTCCTCCTCCATGAGCTACGCTATTCCTAGAAGGCATCTTTTTAAGATGTTATCTCTTCTAGGTCTCTTCTAGATGCCAAGACAATTTCCCTATATTGGCTTTTTCAGTCTTTAAATGAATTCCTACCAGTTCATTTCAAGGGGAAATTAGACAGGTGTTTTAATCAATGGGATGATAATCAGCTGTGAATGTGGCAGGTCCAGTTAGCTGACAGAGACAGACTATAATTCTGAATTTAAAAAAAGCAGGAGGAAACCCAAAATGTTTTGGACTAAATAAAAATATGAATTAAAGAATTCACTAGGGAACATAAATCTATCAAATTAATATTTTATAGTAAAAGTTATCCATGTTAACCATAAGAGAGCTGGAAATTAAATTGAATTATGCAAACACAAATATTTTCAATTTGTGAATGGTTATCTAATAAGCTGCAAAGAGAAAGAAAAATTTGAAATACAAGAGGGAGATAATGTATTGTTGGACAATGTGGCTATATAAAAATTATCAATATTTAATTTATAGAAAGGACATATTATTGCATTGGAGGAAACAACTGAGTATCAGAAATACTAATACAGAGTAAAGAAATCAAAGAGAAAGGTAAAGGCAAAAGTGCAGAAAGAAAAGATATAAAGAGAAGACAAAAGCTTCTTAATTTCTGTGCAGCAAATATAAACATAATTACAAAATTATCTCTTACTCTATGATTACAAAAAAGCTCACTTTTTTCTACTATTTTTCTTCTAATTATCAAAACCTGTAGTCACAAGTTCATTTTAGGAGCCCTGGTGGCACAGTGGTTAAAGTTCAGTACACAGACAAACTCTACCCAGTCTGGAGTTTGATCCTGGTGGGGCTCAAGGTTGACTCAGCCTTCCATCCTTCTAGGGGTCAGTAGAATGAGGACCCAGATTATTGGGGGCAATATGCAAATAATGCTTCAATATTATAAATCACCCAAAGAATACTGTAAAACACTAAAGGATAGTATATAAGCCTAAATACTATTGTTAATGCTAATTTACAAATTAATGAAAAAATAATAATCATGCAGGCAAGCTGAAAACTTGTGAGATCACATGAGACCACTGAAATCTCACAGGACTTGGCAAACTCAAAAGGTATCAGCCTTTTTAACAATAACACATTTTTTAAAAATCAATTTCATTTTCATTTTAGAAGCCGCAATTGATATTTTACTGTGGATAAATGCCCAGATGTGATTTGTCCCTGCATTAGAAGCTATCAATGGAAGGTAACATTAACATAGGTGGTAAGAGAGTCATAGTTTTCACTGTCATTCAAGCTGTGCAACTGAACCAGCTTACTTCATAGGGACCTATCCTGAGCATGTTTCACATCCTTTCCTCCAGTTAGGGAGATGGTTCAAAGGTACTCCGATAAGATTTGTTCCCTGTGCATAGCTGCTCTCTCCTTGGAGCTGCCCTAACAGTGTATTGCAAGGAACAATTCTCAATTGTTCCCTCTAATGTGGGTGCGAGGAGGAGGAGGAGGGTTCTGAAAGAGGGCTGGAGTGGCTGATTTAGCTATCGTTCAACCTTAGTGGTCTTGGAATATCCAGCCTGTCCCTCCATTGCAAAAACCAATGGCCCAACAGGCAAATCCTTTCATGGAGTGCTGTGTCTACAGAGGTCTGGCTCTACTATTTTTTCTGACTCTAACAGAAAGACCACTGAGCAGAAACCTGACCATAAGGAATGCCTCACTGGGTGACTTGCCTATTGGGCCTTTTTTCCCCTATCCAGGGCTGACAGAAAGGTCATTGTAGAGAGAGTTTGACCTATCACTAGCTACACAACAGCTGTTTTTTGCTTTTCTGCAGTCCTGGTGTCGCTGCTCTTCTTCTGGGATCATGTCTGTCTACCAATCACAACCGCAGATGCCCATGGAGGGAAGTCAGCAGCCATCCTATCAGTGAAGCAATGCAAATTGTGCATATAAAAAGGGAGTGATAAGGGAGCCTGGATAGCTCAGCAGACTAATGCATTGTAATTTAACTCCAGCTGTCTGCAATTAGTAAATTCAAATCTTGCCAGGCTCAAGGTTGACTCAGCCTTCCATCCTTTCTAAGGTAGGTAAATTGAGGACCCAGTTGTGGGGGCAATAAATTGACTTTGTAAAAATATACAAAAGTATGAAGGCTATTGCTTAACGTATTGTAAGCCGCCCTGAGTCTCCAGAGAAGGGCGGCATATAAATCAAATAAAAAAAAAAAACATGATTTCCACATTGAATCAGAGAAAGCCAATGGTAGCTGCCCTCAGCTATGGCCTGGAAATGAGAGGGAGGCTCTATCACGCAGATGAGTCCTTAAAGAATGGTTTCAAGAAGGCTTTGAGGCAAAGTCAGGAGGTTGTGTGCAGAGGTGGGTTTCAGCAGGTTCTGACCAGTTCTGGAGAACCGGTAGTGGAAATTTTGAATAGTTCAGAGAACCGGTAGTAAAAATTCTGACTGGCCCCACCCCCATCTATTCTTTGCCTCCCAAGTCCCAGCTGATTGGGAGGAAATGGGGATTTTGCAGTAAAAAAAGAGTGGGGAAAGAATGGAGATTTTACAATATCCTTCCCCTGCCACGCACACCAAGCCACACCCACAGAGCCAGTAGTAAAAAAATTTGAAACCCACCACTGGTTGTGCGGATGTGCTCATTCTCTCCTTAAGCAATTTCCTTGTGCTCAAGGTGAGGTAGATTGCCTTCCAGCACTCAAGCGGCAGGCAGTCCTCACCAGTGATGGAAAAACAACCATCACATTTACAACCTTTAAGCGATAGCAAGTCTAGGCGTACTGCCAAGAATGTAATAAGGGTTAACGGAGGGGCTGTTTCTGTAAACAGGGCAATAAAGATTAGGCTAGGAAACACCAGAATGTTGTAATTCATTACAGGATTAACCCTGTAAAGTGTGTGTGTGTGAGGGGGAGATTTATTCTAACAACCGGTTCTCTGAACTGCTTAACTACTTAACAAGGTTCTCCGAACTACTTAACAACTGGTTCTACCGAATCGGTGCAAACTGGTAGAATCCCACCACTGGGTGGGAATCCAGTAGGATTAGGAATAGAACAAAACAGCACAGCACAGAACAACAGAATAGAATAGAATTTTTTATTGGCCAAGTGTGATTAGACACACAAGGAATTTGTCTCCGGAGCATAAGCTCTCAGTATACATAAAAGCAAGAAGTGAAAAATCATGATCATAATCATAAAATACATTCATTATAAATCATAAGATACAACACTTGGTGTTAGTCATAGGTTACTAAATAAGAAATCAACACAAATCATACTAGGATACTAAATAAAACAATGTCATTAATATAATTAATGATATATATTGTATAAGATACAATATATAAGGTAAAAATACCTTTCGGTATGTCTGTGGGACGCACCAGGCTGCAATCAGCTGTAGAAGAGGCCACACTTGCTGGAGGTGGCGGTCAGAGCAGCCTGAGTCAGCTGTATGTGTGGATGGGACGGACTGCTGTGACCCTTCAGTAAGCCGGTGCAGGGCACGTGGGGCAGCTCACCCCTCTGCCTCATATGGGTGGAGAATTAAGACTTCCCCCCAAAATATGGCCTAGTGCTTATTTCGGAGAAAATAAGACAAGGTCTTATTCTTGGGGAAACATGCTATGTTGTCTAGTATTGTAAGAGGTGGTAGAATTGGAGGGCTTCTCCTAAAATCTACTATCATTTCTACAATTTTGAGTGTATTCAGTTCAAGATTGTTCCGGCCGCACAAGGCTAATTGTTCAACTTCCCATCTTTATGCAGATTCATCCAAGAAAGGAAGTTAAGAGTGACATCAATTCAACTGAGCTAGATTATATGCAGGATACTGCCTATCAATTGAAACCTCAAAAACTGTGCAAATGTACATTTTGTACACCTGTAAAATCATTGCAGGAGTCAAAATTTTCACCATGTAATTATGGACAAGGAAGCAACGAATCTTCTCTACATTCCAATTGAGTCTCTTGGAGCATATACAGTACCAGGGATATGGGCAACTCTGGAACCTTTAGGAACTATAGACTTCAACTCCAAGAATACCTGAAACACCCTGATGATAGTAAAAAACAAATAAATGGCAATTTGCATGGAATCTGTGTTTTTTATCAGCTTAAGCACCCTAACAATATGGAGTACTGTAGTTATATGCAAACTTCTTCTGTTTTGGGATCACAGTGATTATGCAACCACTATTACAGGTAGTTCTCAACTTACAACTGGTCATTTAGTGATCATCCAAAGTTACAACAGACTTGAAAAAAGTGACTCATGTCCAATCCTCACACGTAGCAGCCTCCTCATGGTCATGGGATTGCTTCTCCTAAAACCTCTGTTGCAACACTTCTCACATTTCCTTCCTGGTGTTCTTGTTTTACTGAGATTTGGTAACCACGTTATCGTAAGCTGGTGGAGAAGGAGAAGGATTTGGTTCAGTTGCCATTTCTCTACCTCTGATGACTTGGTAAGGCACAAAAAGCACCGTTGGCTGTAATAGAAAAGAATAGTCAATACAAAATATACTCAGGGACGCATCTATTACTCTAGGTGGGAGGAATAGATTCTCCAGTTGTGTGTTTTTAACTGTGATGCTGGCAGTCTCACCAACAGGCTGAAATCCTTGATAGTTCAAAGTCCTGATAGAGAATGCTTTAAAACTATAAATTAACAGGCACAGGGTTTAAGGTCTGAGCATTTAAGCTGTCAGAGATAGAGACAAGAGGCGGAGCCTGGGCTGTCCATCAGCCCTCAGATGGAGAGTCAACAACCCACAGGTCCGGAGATGGCTGATGAGGAAGAGGAGGAACATCTGGGTCCAGTGCCTAACGCATGGATGCGCAGGAGGCAGAGGAGAGCAGTGGGAAGCTATGAGTCGGTCCTCAGTCCTAAGCCCCACCCTAACTCTGGTGATAAAAGGCAGGAGGCAGAGATGAATAGTTGTGGCAGACAATTATTTGTCTCCCTGTGGGTCAGCCACTGATAGTCTTCTGAACTTCTGAATCCCGTCTGGAGCTTATCAGAATTCTTTATTGGAATCTGCGGTACTGAGGGTCGGGCGCGCCTTCTGACCATGTGTGTGTGTGTGTGTCTCAGCTGCTGGAAAAGAGCGAGTAAATCTTGCAGGACTTCCTTTACGAGTGTGGGGAGAGAGAGAGATTCCTGGTGTATTGGGACCATTTTAGGGGGAAGGGGAGTCAGGTTCGCTTTCCACAGGCACTTAGAGACTTTGTTAGCCTGCTGTGAGGGAGACAGAGACTCTTTGCCGGGGCTGCTGGTGCTCCAAATAAAGGGAACATTTAGTTAAACACAGCACGCTTGTCGTGTTTGGGAGCCAGGTCAGAACACTCAGGTTAGGTGGAGTGCAGATATAAAGAAGAAAAACAGACAATCTTCTTTACATTTTTTAACAATAACAACTGCTAAAGCTATTATCAGAGTATCAAATATTTACCTGGTCATCCCTACAGCAAGTTGCCTGGCAGCCGAAATGAGCCAGTGAAACAGCAATGCAGAATTCCAGCAGGCTGAACAAGAGCAACACACAGGAAAGGCCAAAACTGACACTCTGTAGAGTAGGAAGACATGTGGAAAGAGAAATTAATGTAATGGTATGTATTTTATTTTATTGAATGTGCTACACCATTAAAAGGGACTCCCAGCTGCTTCCTTAGGAAACACTGGGGGGAACAACTGTATTGGGAAAAACAGAGACATTGACAGGTAAACCTCGACTTACAACCACAATTGGGACCATATTTTCCACTGCTAAACAAACAGATTGTTAAGTGAGTCGTTGCATAATTTTACCTTTTCTGCCACTGTTGTTAAGCAAATCACTGCAGTTAAGAGAATGATATGGTTGTTAAGTGAATCCACCTTCCCCACCCTCCACTGCCTTTGCTGATCAGAAGCTGGCTGGGAAAGTCGCAAAGGGGATGCTGCAACTGTCCTAAATAAATTGCTCATGTGACTGTGGGGATGCTGCTAAGGTCATAAAAGCAAGGAGTGGTCATAGCTTTGAGTGCCACTGAAACTCTGAATGGTCACTAAATGAATCATTGTTCATTCAGTTGAAGACTGCCTGTAAGGGGATGCTGCAACTGTCCTAAATAAATTGCTAGTAGCCAACCCCGCCTCCCCCCCAATTTTAATGAGGTGACTGTGGGGACACTGCAACAGTCATAAATGCAAGGAGAGGTCATAATTTTTTTTGAGTGCTATTGATACTAAATATACAATTGCAAATTGAATAATTGTAAATTAATTGTAAAGACTACCTGTATAGCCTTTGTGATCTGAGAAAAATGCATCAGGGAACATTAGCATCTCTTATGTTTTGCAATATTCTAAAGGGAAGTATTCTCACTGTTGAAATAAATAGATGTAATTTGCTTGCCCTCCATTTCCCAATAGGAGGGCCTGTTTTCCTGCTGCCTGGAGAGAAGTAATGGAGGAGAGGGTCTAGGGAGATTCTCAGTCATCCAGGCCATGGTTGTCCCAAAGGTGCTTTTTCAAGAGACAACTGGACTTGCTTGTTTTCCTGTGGAGAAGTTTCACTTCTCATCCAAGAAGCTTCTTCAGCTCTGACTGGATGGTGGGGAATGGAAGGATTTATACTCCTTGCAGACAGCTGGTCATTTTTATCCTTTTAGAGAGTTGTTGAGGCCACCATCTAGTCAGAGCTGAAGAAGTTTCTTGGATGAGAAGCAAAATATCTTAACAGAAAAACAAAGTCCAGTTGCCACTTGAAAAAGCACCTTTGGGATGATGGAGGAGAGGGGAGATCACATTTTCGGTGCTGGGTGAAACAGTAGGTAAATTATGTGAATCCCACCTCTGAAGCAAAGGACAGCACCCTACTAAATACTGAAAATTCAAGCCATTTATCCCAGGTATCGGTGTGGTTCTAAACTGTCCACACTTCAGAATTTACCTAAATTTCTGTTTTCTAAAACTGGGTGGCAAATGCCCAGAAGGGATGAGGATGTGGAGGTGGCAGGAAAACCTGGTATAGATTTCAACATTTACAGCTGTATTCTATTCTATATAGAATTCTCAAGCACTCCTTTGTTTTTCACTACATAAGCCCTACTGTAAAACAACCAATTTTTTACACTGTACAGAGACAAAATCAAACAATACATCTAAAAAACATTTAGACACATTTATTTTTTAAAAAATTCTATCCCCCTCCCCACCAAATAAACTGGAGAAGAAGAAATCTACAAAGTCCTACTCACTTTGCACCTCAATGACCAGAAGATTGATTCCCCTGATTTAACAAATATATTTAAAAAAGCATTCAAATGAAATAGCACTCATGTTTTTGTGACTTAGACCTATTGAAGAAAAGATTTTCAAACAAAACTCAAAGGGTTTGGGATATCCCTCCTTTATATATAATCTCCTTCAGAATTCTGCACATGAAGCCAAAATTCAAGACCAGATTGTTTTACTTACACTTAAACTGTCAGTGTCATATCGATTCTGATATCCCCAAAAAGCACTACTGAGGCTCAGCTCACATAGGTACAGGATGATACCAATTAATGCCATTACAGCACTTGTGATGTTCAGTCCTACACTAGATTTTACCTGAAACAGCAATACACCAGAAAGAGAGAAAATACAGTTATAGTGTCACTGTATTACATCATAGGTTTCTGCAAAACATAAAAACAATTAGCCCCAACTATGGTAAAAACAGTGACAAAGAAATTCTCCCGTCAGGAATGTAGTGTTTTGCTATTAAGATGGTCCTTTTTCTTTTATTGAATCCACACTGTGTTCCTTTACAAGACAAAAACATTTATATGTTGCCATGAACTCTCTTTAAATCAAAGAGAAACAGAGGAGAAAAATACAAGCTCTTTGCAGGAGGGCTACCATCAGCTCTCTTTTCCCTTTGATTCCCACAATGATTCCCACTCTAGTTCCACACTTTTACTCCTAACATGCTGGGCTTTTTTCTAATGTTGCTTTCATGTAGGAATACTTCTGAAACTGGACCCTCTGTCAAGGAGGAAGAGGAGGAGGAGGAGGAGGGGGAGGAATAATAATAATGATGATGATGTTGGAAGTTTGCTTCAAGACTAGAGCATGCAAGAAGACACCTCTGCTCAGGACTCGCAATAGTTATAGCACTTAGACTTATATACCACTTCACAGTGCTTTACAGCCCTTTCTAACTGGTTTACAGAATCAGCCTATTGCCCCAACAATCTGGGTCCTCATTTTACCCACCTTGGAAGGATGAGTCAGCCTTGAGCCTGGTGAGATTTGATGTGCCAAATTGCAGGCAGCTGCCAGTCAGAACTAGCCTGCAGTACTGCATTCTAACCACTGTGCCACTGAGGCTCACCATTACTAGTAGCAATTAAGGAAGCTCTGGTAGAACAAGCACCCACATTATGGTCATTGACTCTCTCAGGCTTCTGTAATTTCCATTGCAAAATGGGGACCAGGGGAGGCTCAAATTCTGGATGGTTGAACATTCTCTACTGTTGACATAGAACTTTCAATGGAAGCAGGACTTGGAAGCAAAAGTTGATCAAAGAAGGAAGATGGGGTGGGGGGGGCACTTTTGAGTTTGCTTTTCTTTCCTAAATGTTGATTTAAAACTGGACAGTATCTGAAGAGAATTGACACAGTAAAAGGTCCTGAGGGCTTACAAAGAAACAGCATAAAATAAATTGAAATGCTACATAGGTTTCTCACCAAACTACGATTCGAATTGTTTGCAGCTGCTACACAAAGTGATCCAGAAGAAATAAACTATGGAAAACGAAAAAGAAAAACAAATGATTGTAGTTCACTGGAAATAAAAGGGGAAAAATGTCAGAAAAATCTGGCGCCCATGAGAAGCCAGATAGGCTCCAATGCAAACAAGACTTTTATAAAAATCCATTAGTCATTATTACAATGGTGCATGACTCAACAAAAATTTGCACATACTTACAAATATCCCTCCCCAAAAGGGATAACCTCCAACTGAAGAAAGGGGGAAAAAAGAGTATGAATAAAAGATTGAAGAAAGCGAGAGAGCTCCAAAGCCAATGTGGATCAGCCCAATCAATATCTGGACAGCCTGCGGAAGGAAAACACACAAAATGAGACAACTTCATTTGCTGAATCTGAGAAAAACATTTTAATTTGTTAGCACCCCAGGAAAGGCATCACTTTATATCCATCTTTGAAAGATCCTTCAAAGGGATTGGGGCTTCTAAGCTTGCAGTGAAGGTGATGACCCAAGGCCTGGTTTCTTATGGTGAAAAATCCAAATGGGGAGAAGGGAGAGATTGAGACACTGTTGTCACTATGTACCGGACATTTATTCCAGATTATGATCTAGTTTGACCCTCAATGGGACTGCTTTTGCCAGGGAGAAGATCTGTAAGAATATCATGATGGGCCTTTGAGAGAAAAATATCACCTCTCACTACAGACTCCTCTGCAGGAGGAAGTTAATCATGGTCATAAGCACAAAGTGACTTCAACCAGCTTGGGCTTGAGCCAATCCATGACCAGGTTCTTCTGGAGAAATGCCCAACAATTGCACTTCTCAGAGGGAAGGGAGAAAAAGAAATCTGGCTGAAACCTTGGCTGAGCTCCACTTTCTCAGTTAAAGAGCAAAGCAAAAAGAATGCATATCTGAGTCAGAATGTTTTGTAGAAATACAAATGAAACTACCAGGAAGAACAGAGGTTTCTGGAGTATATTCCAGAACCAGACAACAGCCAAGCTAAGTTCCAGGACTTCAACATGGGGCTCTCAGGTCTCTACATAGCTCTAAAGCCTTAAGGGATTCAAACAGGCACAGAGCAACGCATGCGTACCCCAAGCACTTTGGGCTCAGCATTGAAGAATCTTTCCAAAGGACCCTTTTGTGGAACTTGTTGAGGAGCACTGGTGGGAATTTGAAATTGCTGAGCTCCATACAGAGGATATGGAGTTGCTCCAGATGCCTGAAGAGCAACATTGGGCAATCCAGGGGCCATTTGGATTATGTTTGCTCCATTAGAGGGGATGAGAACTACAGTTCCACTGGCCATTCTTGCTGGAAGTGTTGCCACAGCTAAATTACCTGCAAACAAACAAGTGAGGAAAAGTTAATGTTTTAACATCAAGGAGGCAGATTCTGTTCCTTCTCCTTAATCTCACTTTGTGAGATGATATTTGCCTGTAGTAAAACTGAAGAAGATTGCCAGAAGGGTTCAGGGAACAGGTAGTAAAAACAGCTTTCTCAGGGATAGAAATTGTTATTTATATAGCTTTGGCGGAAAAGTTTGAATGTTATTGCTCTCAGGTGATTGGCTGATTGCCAGGACTGTAAGGTATATAAAGGGAGTGTTTCCCTGGGTCAGTTGCTGGATTCACACCATGAAGTAAAGAGCTGTTGTTACTCATGACCTGGCTTCTGTGTCCTCATTCACCCTACTTAACAGAAATCCTTCCTTTCCTCACCATTCAGCCACAACCAAAGAATCTTCTTGCTTGAGAAGCAAAATGTTTTCAAGGAAAAAACCCCAAATACTCCAGATGCCTTTTGAAAAGCTCCTTTGGGACAACCATGACCTGGAGGATTGAGAATATCCACAGATATCAGCGAGAAAAATGTTAATCAGAATATGGAGAACATTTTTCAATGCAAAAGGTCTCTTTCTAAACTGAGCAACACCTCAGATCCACCCAGTTAAATGGCATTTTTCATTTGGGGAAGGTTTTATTGTACTTGCCCTCCTGTCCTGTTACTGGCAGATGGATCTAAAAGGCATCAGGCATGGATGATCATGCTGACTGACACCTTCCGGCAAGTTCATTCTGATTTGGACAGAACAAGTTACTGTGAAGGACACAATAACAGTGATCTGTATCCCACCTTTGCTTCATTGATGTGGGGAGATTTCTTATCAAAACACCACTGGACCACCAGCCTGAGTTTTCTGACAAAACTCCCGACAACCTCAGAAAGCAGTGAAGCGATTCAGTAAAGTCCCAACTGCCATCGACCTCTAATTAAAAAGTAATCAGAAACTACTCACGACAACCTCTCAAGACGAAGTATACGGAAGCCCCAGGAAAAACGAAAGTAACTAACAGGAACAAGTGGAGGGCGGAGTTCCGCTGTCTACTAAAAGGAGGAGTTTACTCATAGCTTAATCAAGGGCTCCAGAAAAAACTTATTTCTTGCCCCTTTAACTGTTGCAACAAATAATAGTTTGGGGCCAGGAACTTTCTGCTTGTTCAGAGATGAGTGGAAAACTCTCCGAGTTTATAAACTCCTGTTATTCCTACTCTTTCGCTTCTCTCTCGTTTTCAACTCTCCATTCCCTCCCCCCGCCCCCTCCCCAGCGTTTTAAGTAGCCCTTGTCCAGCGGAGGATTCTTTTTCTCTCTTTTCCCTCCATCGGCGCTCTCTGTAGCTTCCGGGTTGCTCTTTTTAGCGCTTGAACTGGCAAAGACGCAACGGCTGGAGGACTCGATCCCAGCCTCCGATTGCTCTCCTTGCGAAACTCTCCTTGGAAACCTCAGAGGCCGCTGAAACATCTGGACCGCATCGTTTAGCCAATAAGCAGATGTCAAAGGCAAATCCTCTCTGTGTAGTGGCAAAGTTAGGATGAGTATGAATAACAAAGTTATTATGTTTCCTTTTGCACTTATTTAAACTGAAGATTTGCTTTTTGGTTGACTCCTGCCTACTATACATTTCCTCTCTATTGCCCCCCCCCTCTCTTTTGGTGTGCATGTTACAGGGGAATCACCCTCTGGAGTCCTGATCCTCCTATTGCTTTTTCGTATTGGGTTGTTCTACAAAGGTCAAGGCGATGGTTTTCCCAGTTGCAATGTATGGCTGTGAAAGTTGGACCATAAGAAAGGCTGAGCACCAAAGAATTGAGGCCTTTGAACTATGGTTCTAGAGAAGACTCCTGCTAGTCCCTTGGACTGCAAGGCAATCAAACTGGTCAGTCCTAGAGGAGATCAACCCTGACTGCCCTTTAGAAGGCCAGATCCTGAAGATGAAACTCAAATATTTTGGCCACCTAATGAGAAGGAGGGACTCACTGGACAAGAACCTAATGCTGGAAAAGATTGAGGGCAAAAGAAGAACGGGATAACACAGAATGAGGTGGCTGTTGGAGTGAGCTTAAATGGACTCCAGAGGATGGTAGAGGACAGGAAGGCCTGGAGGAATGTTATCCATGAAGTCACAATGGGTCAGACACGACTTCACAACTCACAATGAATGTCTAATGAGGGTGTGGAGATGGCTTCAATGATATAATAGTGTTTTGGAAGGGGAGATGGCTTCTGAACACCCTCCTCCTCCAGATTTCCCAGATTTCATCTTTTTAAAAAGCAGCTTGCCGTTATATCTTCTAGATCTCTTCTACATGCTAAGATAATTTCCCTATATTATGATACTAGTAGCTGTATACCCGTGCTTCACTACAAAACTATGTGATCGGGCTTGATAAATTGACAGTTAACGCTTGAAAATTTATGTAGAATGTGCAACTCCTTAGCATCAGAGCATGTTAATATAAGGCAACTGGCAGTTGGAACAGAGTTCTTTTCAGGTGGGGAGGGGAAGTAGAATGTCTAAACTCCCAGCCCGCAGGCCAGATGAGTCATGCGCTGACCATGCCCATGACCCGTTTAGTGAAGGAGTAGCATCAGAGCGTCTTAATATAAGGCAACTGGCAGTTGGAACAGAGTTCTTTTCAAGTGGGGAGGAGGAGTAGAACATCTAACTCCTTAGCATCAGAGTGTGTTAATATAATACTGTATAAGAAATACTAATAATGTGATGGTCATTTCGAAAAATCCTTTCTTAGCTAGCACATAGAAGCCAAGAGGAACTTACGTGCCAAGGTTCAAGTTTGTAGGCTTTACAGTTCTGGAGATATTGTGATGAGTGAGTGGTATTTGGCTTTTATAAATATAGATTGGCTTTTCAATCTTTAGTTGAATTCCTAGCAATTCATTTCAAGGGAAAATTAGAAAGGTGTTTCAATCAATGGGATGATAATCAGCTGTGAGTGTGGCAGATCTAGTTAGCCAACACACTATAATTCTGAATTTAAGAAAAGGGAAGAGGAAACCCAAAATATTTTGGACCAAATAAAAATATGAGTTAAAGAATTCACTAGGGAACATAAATCTGTCCACAAATTAAGATTTTATAATAACAGTTATCCATGTTAACCATAAGAGAACTGGAAATTAAATTGAATTATACAAAACAAAGACATTTTCAATTTGTGAATAAACCAAGGAAATGGTTAATAAGCTGCAAAGAGAAAGAAAAATTTGAAATACAAGAGGGAGATAATGTATTGATGGACAATGTGGCTATATAAAAATTATCAATATTTAATTTATAGAAAGGACATATTGCATTGGAGGAAACAACTGAGTATCAGAAATACTAATACAGAGTAAAGAAATCAAAGAGAAAAATAAAGGCAAAAGTGCAGAAAAAAATATAAAAAGTGAAGACAAAAGCTTCCTATTTTTTGTGCAGCAAATATAAACATAATTACAAAATTATCTCTTACTCTATGATTACCAAAAAGGTCACTTTTTCTACTATGTATTTTTCTTCTAATTATCAAAAAGTCTAGTCACAAGTTCATTTTATGAGCCCTGATGGCACAGTGGTTAAAGTTCAGTATTGCAGACAAACTCTACCAAGAGTCTGGCGTTTGATCTTGGTGGGGCTCAAAGTTGACTCAGCCTTCCATCCTTCTGCAGTCAGTAGAATGAGAACCCAGATTGTTGGGGGCAATATGCAAATAATGCTTCAACATTGTAAACCACCCAAAGAATACTGTAAAGCAAGGGTCCTTAAACTACAGCCCAAGGACTGGATACAGCCCGCCGACCCAATGTATTCGGCCCACACAGTGGTGGGATTTAGCCCCGCCCCGTCCCTCACCTCCCAGCCACTCCTTGCATGGCTGGCTTTTCCCGCCGCCCTGACCTAAGTGGGGAGAGAGGCAAGCACTCAAGAGATGATGGAATCAGAGTCCTCCCTGAGTCTTCCCTGAAGTTGCCCTGGCTGCATGGGAGTGAAGCACCCCTATACTTGCCTTTGTAGCATTCCACCTTCATTGTGGTACATTTGCTGTTGCCACCTCCATGGCCTGCCCACTGCTCTCGCAGCACTGTGCACAACACAGTGAAGGTTAGCACATTTCACAGTGGGGGAGATGGGTTCTCCTCTTCCTCCTGGAGCCCATTACGATGTGGAGCCACAATGCGACTGTGCCCCACTCGCCCCTGGCAACAGCAGCATTGGCATCAATTCATTCTTGCCTCCTGGATGTCAGTCGCTTTTCCTGCAGAGCCTGCAGGCCACCTGTGTTGTGATGCCCTGCCTCCCCACTGGCCAGCAGGTCTTTGGCTTGCCCAGCCACTGGCCAGCCTAGCCCGGAATTGGTGCGTCCCTCAGTCACAGGCTGGATGTGGAGCCCGAGGCGGAGGGGAAGGTGAGTGGATGGCCCTCGGGAGAGCGCCATGCTTGGGCACTGTGTGCTGTCAGGCCTCCTGCCCATCTCTGCTTCTGTGAGGAAGAAAGAAGAGATAACAAGGGCTTTGAAACCAAAATATTTTTTTTCCCTCTGAGAATCAAGGATGTTCCCACCAGTGTGAGAAGGCAGGACGTGGGTCCAGATAAACTTTGAGTTGTAACCTGATTGGGCCATGTGATGGTCTTCATGGGCAGGAGGAGGGAAATGTATTTTTAACTAGAGGGAAACCCAAGGAGCTTTAGAGTCAGGTTTCCCCAGATATGCCAATATGACAGAGGAGAAGTCCTCTGATACTGGCAGGATCGTGGCTATCGTGGGAACAACCAAAGACAGCTCCGGGAGTATTTGCTTCCCCTTGGTCACTGTAGTGGCTGAAGCAGTGGCGCCAGAGGTTGAGCTCCGGCAGGGCACCTGACCCAACGGACAAGTGTCCTGGCCACTAGTTCAGGAGGATCCTCTCCAGTGGAGTGTTGTGGCCCATACGCGGCCAGTGCAGCTAAAGACTTTCCGGAAGCTCTCTCCCAAGCAGGTCCACTGGGCACAATACTTCAAGTGATTCAACTTCAAGCTAAATACATCCCGGGGGGAAAGAACCTGATCACAGATGTCTTGTCAAGAAAGCCACAGTTTAACAGCCGCTGGCAGGAGGTCATTCACGCCATCATGACCTCTCTCTTGGCTTCCCTCATGATTCCCAGTGGCTCAAGTCACCACCAGGGGCCATGCTGGATGCTGGGATGACCCCAGGGGGGACTAAATGATGACGGCACTGAGGTCGGCGCTCCCTGCTGATCCATGGTTTAGCGACAACAGGGGCGCCCTGACCCTAAAGGATGGACTAGCCTGGAAAGGGTCCAAGCTATACGTCCATGCCATTCTGAGGCTTCAAGTCCTACAGCACAGCCACAACTCCAGGCTAGCTGGCCAGTTTGGATTTCTAAAATCCCTGCGTCTAGCTAGGAGACAGTTCTGGTGGCCAAAGATGAAGGCAGATGTGGAGGACTATGTCAAAAGCTGCACCACCATGAAGAAGACATTGGGGAAGCCCCTGGGTTCCTCCAGCAAGTGGCAGACCCACGCCAGTCCTGGGAGGAAATTGCCATTGACTTTATAATCTAACTCCCAGATAGCAGAGGAAACACAGTCATTTGGACGATGATTGACCTATGCTCGAAGCAAGCCCACTTCACCTGCCTTCTCAGGATTACCCTCAGCTAGAAAGTTAGCTAAGATGTTTATAAAGCAAATGTACAGGCTACACAGCATGTCCCATAGATCATCTCCGACTGAGGAGTCCAATTCACCGCAAAGTTCTGGAGACAGTTCTTGAGGTCTACTCTATAGGGTCTGCCCAGGGGCTTAGCTCAGCTTTTCATCTGTGTACAAATGGGGTGGCTAAACAAGCAAACACCATGGTAGAGCAGTACTTAATGTGGACTACCAGCAATCCAGTTGGGCGGACTTGCTGTCCTTCGCAGAGGTGGCCTACAACAACACGGTGCATAGTAGCACTGGACTGACCCCTTTCCAGGTCACCAGCAGTATGGAGTTTGTCCCCATGGCTGACCTGCGCCGAGAGTCGATCTCATCTATGTCCCTGGCCGAATGGATGGAATCGCTAAAACAGGGATGGGAAAATACAAAGTGAGCTCTGATAGAAGTGGCAAAGTCGTACAAAAATCAAGCTGACAAGCACCGCTCCCCTTCCGAGTTGGAGACAGTTTATACCTGTCAACAAAGTATCTCAAGCTAAGATTGCTGTGCAAAAACCTTGGACCTAAATTCTTAGGGTCATTCCCAATAGTGAAAGTAATTAACCCATTAAGGGTTCATCTTAGACTCCCATGCCTGCTAGGGAAAGTGCACCAGCAGCTTGTTGAAGCAGTTGGTTCCCAGCTGGGACTGAGGGATAGGGCAGCCCCAAAGCCTGTTGTGGTGCAGGGGGAGACTAATTATGAGGTTAAAAAAATACTGGACTCCAGATTGCACTTGGGTGGTTGCAATACCTGGTCCATTGGAAACAGTACTCTTTGTCCAAGGCTACCTGGGTTAAGAGCTGGGATGTAAAAGCTGACAGATTAGTAAAACAGTTCGACAAGAAGCCAAAGGGACCTCCTGGCGGGGGGAAGAGGTAGTTGAGAGGATTGTTACTAATCCCCTTTCAATTTGGCTAGACAATGTTGACTGGTGACCCCTAGGGGGAGAGCCTTCTCTGTGGGACCCCCTACCCCTGGAGCTCCAGATAATCCCCGACCTCCGAACCTTCCGCTGGGTCTTGAAGACCTGGCTTTTCCAACGGGCGGGCCTGGGTTGACTTTAAACTGATTTTGTAGCTTTTTAAATTCTTAAACCTTAAATCTGAATTTGTATTCCCACATTTAACTTTGTTTATTGGATATTCTGCTTTAATTTGCCTTTTAACTTTTGTATGTACTGTTTCTTATTGTTGTGAGCTGCCCTGAGTCCTTCGGGAGAAGGGCGGCATATAAATCAAATAAATAAATAAATAAATAAATAAATAAATAAATAAATAAATAAATACTCACTCACTCTCATTGCAGGATGTCCTCTTCAGCTAAGGGAGAGCAGCCTGTCAGCCCTGGAGCCATTTTCCTTGGCATTTTCAGGGCTGCCACAGTGGACACTGGGCGAGCTGTGAGAATGGGAGGGGGGAAGTAGAGATAGCAAGGGCTTTGTAACCAAAATAAAATTCTTTCCTCTGAGAACCAAGGATGATCCCACCAGGTTTGAGGAGGCGGGACGTGAGTCGGATAAATTTTGGGTTGTGACCTGATTGGGCCATGTGATGGTCTGCATGGGCAGGAGGAAAAATGTATTTTTAACTAGGGGGAAACCCAAGGAGCTTTAGAGTTGGGTTTCCCCAGATGTGCCAATATGACATACCTAATAAATCTGTACTTTGAGGAATATGCCTGCCTCTGAGTTTTGATTCTGTTGGGGGGTGTTACTTGGAACCCTGACACTTAGCTTCAGTGCCTATTTAGTAGCTCCAGCGGCTACAACACAAACGTTCATTCTCATATTTGACATTCCTAGCTGCAATGGAGAGCAAAGCTATGGTTGACCCCAGCCGCTTCTCTCCGCCACAGTGCTTTCCGGATGCGGCTTACAGCTCTGAGCCTAAAGTGGCGAAAGGCAAGGACTGCCTTGACTCTTCAAGTTTCAAGTGACAAGAGATGTGTTATTTTGGGGGAGATCGCAGGATTGGCCCGCCTCCCTGCTGGCCAGCTGGTCTTCAGTGCACAGCTCATTGGCCTCCAGGCATCAGATTTCTCCCACCCAGCACCAGTTGAGGGGTTCCTTCCCTCCCCCAGGGAAGAGAGAGAGAGAGATGGAGAGAAAGAAAAACAGAGAGGGAGAGAGGGAAGGAGGCCCATCTCTAGGTGTGTGGCTAGCAGAGGAGGTGGCAAGCACGTGCAGGCACAGGACAGATCAGTTGATTATTTGTCCAAGCAGCAGGCAGAGACAAAGGGGGGTGGGGGTGGCATGCAATCTAGACCATCGGTCCCTACACGCCTGCTGCCTCTTGTGCGCACACCGAGGGTGGGATGCCTAGCCAGGCTGATCACCCTGAAATTGTGTTTCCCTGAAAATAAGCCCTAATGCTTTTTTTTTTTTTTTGGGTAAATATTTTTTATTTATTTTTTCAAATTTAAACATAAAAACATAACTTTCAAGAGTAAAAATCTCGATCCGGTCATAGATGGTTACCACGTTTACATTCCTTTCACAAGCTCAATTCACAATTTCCATTACATCTTTTATAAGTAAACAAAAAAAGAAAAAAAAGAAGATAAAAAAGAAATTCAAAACTTAAGAAAAAAAACAATTTTACCTCAAATTTCACATTTTCATCTATATAAATTCATTATATCTATCCAAAATTAGTTTCAAATTCACTTTCATTCATTTTTACATCTGCATAACAATTCTAAACATATCTTTATTCTTCTTTACCTTATATCTTATACAAGTCATATCAAAATAATTTTTACAATATTCTAACCTCTTATTAAGTGTTTACCTTACAATTTTATCACCATTTATTCTTAGTTTCAATTCAATACCACTCCATTTTTATTGTATTTTATAAAATAACATTTTATCTAATTTTAATCCTTTGACCCTTATCCTCAAATTAGTTTACCTTAGTTTTTTTTTTCCTCCCAGTTTACATATTACACAGATTTCTCTCAAAGGCATATTTTATTTAATCCATTTTCTAATATATTTTCCACTATATCTCCCTCTAATATTTAACTATCTTCCAGCTTATTCTATTTGATTAATTCTCACCTTGATCCCCTCCAAAACATCAACTATTTAGTTGATTTTAGAATAGTTCCTCAATCTCCTCCAACTCTCCTCCTATTTGTTTGACTGTTTCCAGCATTTTGTGAGCTGATTTCCAGCATAGTCTCCTCCTTAACTCCCTCCATTGTTTGGCTGATTACCAGCATAGTCTCCGCCAACTCTCCTCCTATTTGTTTGGCTGTTTCCAGCATTTTGAATTAATTTCCAACGTATTTCCACTGAGTCTCAAACTCTTATCTAGTTGGTATCCATCCCACACATTTTAACTGTAATATAATTATCTGTTTTATATCATTTTTCCATCCTGCTCTTTCAATTTAAATCTCAGTATATGTCATAATAGTCATCATTTCCAATTTGTATTACCTTAATTCAATTACTAGCATCTGTGTATCTTGTATTTTGTTCAATCAATCCTTATTCATCAGTTTAACATTTGTTTGCAAGTTAAAATTAAAACATATTACATCAAACAGTACATTTTTTATTATTTTTATCCCCTTGATATCATCCACTATTTTAATAGCCACCTCTTATTTTCTATTTTTATTATTTCACAACCCTTCCTGTTTTTATCCAAAAATCATATATACCTAGGCTTTTAAACTTTATCATATATACATAGGCTCTTAAACTTTACATTTCAGTTAGTCACATTTAAATTTATCCACTTTAATTCTTCCTTTTCTTCCTTTTCCTCTCTGTCCAAAGTGCTCTATTTCAAGGTTCATCAGTTCAAAGTAAAAAATTTCTGTATGTCCCTTTAAGACTTTTAAAATGTCTGATCCTAGCGTAATGCATCAGCTTCCTGTCTTTGTTAACTATGCCACACCTAGTTTTGTCAGTCTCCATTGTTAAAATCCAAAATGTTCTTTCTTTCTTCTTTCTTCTTTCTTAAAATCATCTGGGACAGAGTAGGAATCTCCAAAATCCTTATATCCAATATTAATTTCAAGTAATCCAAGGTAAAAAGCCAATTAACATGTTTCTTTTCCACCCAGAAAGGGAATTCTCTTTAATCCACTTCTCTGTTTAAATCACTGCAGACTCCATGGCTATTTCTCTATCTTCATTAGCTTCATTTTCTTTTAGAGGCATTAATTCTCAGGAATATCTATTTCTCCTCTCCACTCCAGTTAAAGGCACAGTCAAATTTCAGAAATTTATTAATACCAAATCATCCAGTTTAAGTTTACTGCAACAAAATTCAATTTGGGTCTTTTACCCATTTTTTTTTCCTTTTCAATCTTTAAGCCCCGCAGTCCAACAGCTGCTTTTAATTTTGGGGTCTTATTTTCCAATAATTCTAAATAGGTACGTTATTGCCTGGGTTGGTGTCACTCACCCGGCTTCTTGATTTTTGCTCTTTCTTCATCTTCTTCCTCCAGCACAATCCTTGTTCCCGGTTGCCGCAGTTTCAGGGCAGCCACAATGGCTGCCGTCCCGCTGCTGCTGGCGTGAAGGAGAAGCCTCCGGCCCCGAGGAACCTGCCTGTTCCTCTCGGCCGCCCAAGGCGTTCCTTCTTGTTCCCCTGTCCCTACAAGACAGGGGAGGTCCGCAGACCTATCGACGGCAGCTTAGCAGAGGGGATTTGGCAGGGCTCAGCGGAGCTCGCCATTTCCCCGTCTGTGTCCCAGCGACGCCAACCAGAAGTTCCCTAATGCTTATTTTGGAACAGCCAAGAAAAGAAGACCGGATCTTATTTTCAGGGAAACACAGTAGGTAATAGGAAAGATGAGCAGGATAATAGTAATAGAGCTCTACTAGGTAGTTTGACAGTGTTGTGGGAATTAGTTGTTTAGCAGAGTGATGGCATGGGAGGAAAAACTACCTGTCACCACTCCAAACTACATTCGTTCCAGTGCTGACATAAGGAGGAGAAGAGGGGGCAGCTGGCAAGAAGACGCTTGACTTTTCGCCTACTTATTTTCCCTGAAGATAATATCCCCTAGGAGATGGGATGGGAGGGGGGACATTCCTGGGACCTGAAGTAGTAGATATGGGGAGAGTGATTTGGAAGATGACCAATGAGACACAGAGAATTGGGGAACGGAAAGGGAAGGTTTGGGGTCAGGAAGTCAGTGTTGGCTACAATGGAGTCGGGGGACAGATTGTCAGGCTTAGTAAATGAAAGATTTCATCAAAGACTATTTGTTTGGAAATGCAATTTATTTGAGACGACACCGAAACCTGACACTACCTTTGTGTCTAGTTGTTTTGGTGTGCAATGCCCTATAGCGTCATCTTGAGGGAAGAAGTTGAAAGAGTTTATGTCCAGCATGTGAGAAGTCTGTACATATTTACACAGTCCTCTTTCTAGCTCATGCAGGTAGTATTTATTTATTTATTTTATTTATTTCGAATTTATATACCACCCTTCTCCCGGAGGAATCAGGGCGGTGTACAGCCACAAATAAGAAACATAAAATACAAACATTAAAAACAATTAAAAGAATATATATCTATTTGGCCCCATAATTTAAAAAGTGACAAACCAATTAAAAAACATTTAAAAAAAAATTTTTTTAAGCCAGCCCGTCTTGCTGGAAAAAGAAAGTTTTAAGGGCACGGCGGAAGGCACCGAGGTCTTGGATTCTCCTTATGTCTGGGGGCAGCTGATTCCAGAGGGTAGGTATAAAGAAGAGAGTAATAAACAGCCTCCATCATCCACTGCAGGGAGTGTATTTCCTCATGAATATGCCAATGAATTCTTGTTTCTAGTGTTATAACTATTAAGTAAAACCGAACAATTTTTAAATTTGCCACCATTTAATTTGGTGTTTAAAGGCTGTAATTGAAAAATAAACAAGCAAGCTGGAGAAAATAAAGTAAATGCATTGCTGTTCCTGAAACCTCTGTTGCAACTCTTCTCACATTTCCTTCCTGGTGCTCTTGTTTTACTGAGATTTGGTAACCACGTTATCATAAATTGGTGGGTGGAGGAGGTGGATTTGGTTCAGCTGTAACTTCTCCATCTCCGATGACTTGGTAAGGCACAAAAACCATGGTTTACTGTAACAGAAAAGAATACTCAATACAAAAAATACTCAGAGACGCATCTGTTATTCTGGGGATATCAAACTCTATTTCATTGAGTGCCGCATCAGGGTAGTAGTTGACCTCGGGGAGCCAGGATGGGCATGGCCAGCTCGACGTCACTAGTGTTGGGGCGCCTGTAGCGGCCTGAGCACTCTGGCAGCGAAAACGGGCTCCCGAACTCCATTTACAGCTGTGACGACATCCTGCAACCCTCAGCCAGCAAAAATGGAGCACTGGCGGTCATCCGTGGGCCGGTCCTTTGCTGTTTCCAGGGCAGCCCCATGGGCCAAATCTAAGCTACCTGCAGGCCAAATCTGGCCCCTGGGCCTTGAGTTTGACACCCCTGCTCTAGGTAGGGGGAATAGATTCTCCAGTTGTGTGTATTTTAACTGTGATGTTGGCAGTCTCACCAACAGGCTGAAATCCTTGCAGCTCAAAGTCCTGATAGAGAATTCTTTAAAACTATAAATTAATAGGCAAATGATGGGCATTTAAGTAACTTTTCCTGATCGAATCTGCCAGCTTTATGCCCACATTCTGCTCAGGATCTCCCACCTACCAATCAACAGGTCTGATAGGAAGACAACCCCACCACCCCAGTGAGTGTTCTCTGTATGGAATAGATGCCCTTCTAAAATAAAGCTAGCACCAAGAAGAAGATGCATTTCCCTCCAGGGGAGGTTATTATTTTGGTTTCTGAAATTGCTTCAATTGGCAGTGCTATGAACTGATACAGGTACCAATAAAGAAAAATATTCAGGAGTGAAATAAGAGGACCTTGATTCTCTCTGAGCTTGGTTGTTTCTTTGCAGATGTTTTACTACCCAAATAATAAACTTGCACTGATGATGTTACCTAGTTTGAGTAATGAAACATCTGTGAGAAAAGAACCAAGGTAGAGAGCACCATGGACCCCAAGACAGGCATCTCTGTATGCTGGTGTAGCTGCCTACAATATTTTTAGAGTTTTTCTGTTTTGTCAGGTCCAATCATATTTACCCCTTTCAGTCTTTGTTCTGTCCCATTTTCACCCTGTCAAATTAATCGAAAGCCGTGATGGTGAACCTGTGGCAAGCGTGCCAGAGGTGGCGCACAGAGCCCTGGTGAGCATGTGCACCAGCCAGCTAGTCTTTGCGAGTGCTGGAGCACCGGAAACCCAAAGACCAGTTGGTCGGTGCACATGCATGCGTCAGCCACCTGGTCTTTGGGTTTCCGACACGCACATGAGTGCTGGCCAGCGGGTCTTCGTGCGTGCCGGAGCCAGCTGGTCTTCGGGTCTCTGGAACTGTGGTGTACACGCGTGCCTGCATGCACACACAAGCACATTCTGGTTTGGGCACTCAGCGCAGAAAAGGTTTGCCATCCCTGATCTAAAGCATTTCTGAAAGGTTGAGAGTATGTTTCTTATTGGTACAAAAGGAAGCTAATTGTCATTTCTGCTGAACAAGGGACGGGCATGGCTTTCTCACCCATCACCAAACTTGCCAATTCAGAATGTAGGTACGTGGTTGGTAATTCAATTGTTTCCAACTGATTTTTTTTCAAAGGCCTTTATAATAGTGCTGTTAGAATCTCTTTATTATCACATCTATATTTGGAGACCTTAGGTAGCATATGGTAATCATGTATTCAGCTGTTTGAGAATTAAAAATAATGTTATTTTTTAAAAATGAAAAAGACTTTTTTAAAAATAGTAGCATTGAGAGAAAATGTGATCAAGTGACAGATACTTTAAATTAATGTAGTCATACTACTAAAATAACTATATTTAGAACTGAGCCCTCTAAAATTGAGACATCAAATCCTGCAGCACTGAATTATAAAGAGACCACACAAACTGTGTTGTATTCATGACATTCACTCTCTAGCAAAACAGAAGCTGGGAAAAATTCACGTATCTAATTATTCATATGCAGAAGCAAATAAATCACAAGATGTTAGATCACAATTCAAACCTTTCTAAGTTATAAAGGTTACTGGGTAAGCCGAGTAACCAATGTCACCTATTGTTCAGGGTAATAGCAAAGAAAGCAGCAAAAAGTCAGGTTAGGTGAAGTGCAAATATAAAGAACAAAAATGGACAATCTTCTTTACATTCTTTAACAATGAGAACTGCTAAAGCTATTATCAAAGTATCAAATATTTACCTGGGCATCACTACAGCAAGTTGCCTGGCAGCCGAAATGAGCCAATGAAACAGCGATGCAAAATTCCAGCATGCTGAAGAAGAACAGCACAACAGAGAGGCCACAACCGAAACCCTGTAGAGTAAGAAGACAAGTGGAAATATAGTTGTAACCTAAGAAATTAATGTAATGGTATCTACACTGCTCAAAAAACATAAAGGGAACACAAGCAGAAGACATCCGAGATCTGAATGAATGAATAGCCTTATTAAATATTTTGTTCGTTACATACAGTAGTTTTGTGTTCCCTTTAGTTGTTTGAGCAGTGTATAAACTACTGTATGTAAAGAACAAAGTATTTAATAAGGCTATTTCATTCATTCAGATCTCGGATGTCTTCTGCTTGTGTTCCCTTTATTTTTTTGAGCAGTATATTTTATTTTATTTTATGAGTTACAGTCACACCATTAAAAGGGACTCTCAGCTGCTTCCTTGTGAAACACTGGGAGGAACAACTGTATTGGGAAAAACAAAGACACTGTACAGGTAATCCTCGATTTAGAACCACAATTGGGACCATATTTTCCACTGCTAAACAAAGTGATTGTTAAGTGAGTCGTTGCGTAATTTTACCTTTTCTGCCACTATTGTTAAGCAAAATGGTGCAGTTAAGAGAATCATATGGTTGTTAAGTGAATCCACCTTCCCCACCCTCCACTGCCTTTGCTGATCAGAAGCTGGCTGGGAAAGTCGCAAAGGGGATGCTGCAACTGTCCTAAATAAATTGCTCATGTGACTGTGGGGATGCTGCAAAGGTCGTAAAAGCAAGGAGTGGTCATAGCTTTGAGTGCCATTGAAACTCTGAATGGTCACTAAATGAATCATTGTTCATTCAGTTGAAGACTGCCTGTACAGCCTGTGTGATATGAGAAAACTGCATCAGGGAACATTATTAGCATCTCTTATGTTTTGCAGCGTTCTAAGGGGAAATTCCAGATATCACTGAGAATCAAGTGGGGATCAGCCTTATTTCAGACCCATACATAAAGTTAAATCATTGCACAGTAGCAGGTATTTCACCTGAGCTTTGTTTCTTCTTTATGCACCACAAAATGCTATTCATGTCAGTGGTGGGTGTCAAATTTTTTACTTCTGGTTCTATGGGTGTGGCTTGGTTGGTGTGGCATGGCTTGGTGGGCATTGCTTGTTGGGCGTGGCAGGGGAAGGATACTGTAAAATCTCCATTCCCACCTCAATCCAGGGGAAGGTTACTGCAAAATCCCCATTTCCTCCCGATCAGCTGGGACTTGGGAGGAGGCAGAGAATAGTTGGGGGCGGGATCAATCAGAATTTTTACTACCAGTTCTCCGAATTACTCAAAATTTCCGCTACCGGTTCTCCAGAACTTGTCAGAACCTGCTGAAACCCACCTCTGATTCATGTAGGATGAAGCAGAGAAGAACAATCCAATTCTCAGTCTAAATCAGGGGTGTCAAACTTAAAGCCTGCGGGCCGGATCCAGCCCATGGGATGCTTAGATCTGGCCCGTGGGACTGCCCTGGAAACAACAAAGGACTAGTCCACAATGCCTTTGCCAGTAAAATGGAGCTCACACGAGCTGTCTGAGGGCCTCCCAAGCTCCCGTTTTCACTGACAGAGGATTGCAGGAGGCCATAGCAGCCAAAAATGGAGCTCCGGAGCCCATTTTCACTGGCAGAGCGCTCAGGCTACCAGAGGTGCCCCCAATATGAGTGACGTTGAGTTGGCCATCCCCACCCTGCTCCCTGAGGTCAAACACAACTCTGATGCGGCCCTCAATGAAATTGAGTTTGACACCCCTAGTCTAAATCATTAGTTTTACCGATGCAGAAATTCACAGCTCTCCTAACAAAACCGGCTAAAGGATATTGATCATGCTAGACGGTGGACATAGTGTTAGCAGGAGAAGGTCAGATTGGAGTCCTTGGAGGAATGTGGAAGTTGGAGGCTCTAGGTCAGACAATGGCAAGGACATCCCATAGTACTGTCAAAAGTTACCTCCCAGATGTGTAGGCCATAGTAATATGTACGTTACTTTATCATTCTTATTCTTATGTTCTAAGCATATTTAACCCATAATCTTTTTTTAAAAAAATAATTTTTATTAAACAGTTTTTTAAAAAACAAACAAACAAAACAAACAAACAAACAAAAACTTTAGAAATCTTTCCTAATTTTAGGTTCTTTGGCATTCTGCTGGCCATGTACCCAGTGATCATTCTAGCTTTGCATGTCAGTGAAATATGCTTTCTTTTGCTTACCTCCAATTCCTTCCTTATTTAAAGGAACATGTACCCCATAACAAGGTGTTCAGGTTATGATGACCCAAACACATTAGAACATTTTGGGTGTATGTTCTCCTGAATTACCCCAAGAGTCACAAGGGACAGAACCCACAGCAGTGAAAGCAAACTAATTCATTCTGCACCTGCACATTTTCCTTATTTGGAAAATATACCATCTCCGTTCCTGTTTCCCTGGACCACTTATAATCATTCAAATAAAATCTGATTTGCACCTGTTGCTTTGGAAGAGCCTTGTTTCCAAACTGGTGTGCATAATTTACCCTTCAGTCAACACCATAAATAATGAAGGCATCAAATCCCTAGTCCCTATTGCCAGTCCCTTTCCTGCCCATTATTGCACCTGTTCTGATTTACTCTTGAATGCTGTTGCCCTGGCTTCTAAAAACCCCACCTGTTACAGACTGGTTTTCTCCTCTGACTTTGCTGCCATCCATTTTCAGCATATCATCAGTCAATAAGGAAAACAACCATCATTCAGGGTACTACAACAGAATTGGGGTGTCTGCTGTACCGTACCTTCCTTCTACCCTCAGTTTGTGCATCTCTCAAGTTAAATTTAAGGTAAAATAGATACATATGAAAAGACAATGGGTACTGATAGCAGGAGCACTACTAATGTTCTGAAAAGAGGAAAACAGCTCATTAGATGTATCCTGCAAGACAGAAGATCTGAAGCAGACTAGCTGAAGTCATCTTCTCTGCCAGGGATGGGCAGAGAGATTAAACCGTACTACAAATAGATTTATTGTACTTATTTATCAAATGCAGATACCGCCCACCTCACTGTCAAAGTAAAAGATGTAATTTGCTTGCCCTCCATTTCCCAATAAGAAATTTGGGGGGGGGGGGTCTGTTTTCCTGTTGCCTGAAAAGAAGTAATGGAGAAGAGCCTTGGTACTACAGTGGTTTAAAGCACCCTGTTATTAACACAGCTGCCTGCAATTTACTGCTGGTTCGAATCTCTCCAAGGCTCAAGGTTGACTCAGCCTTCCATCCTTTCTAAGGTAGGTTAAATGAGGACCCAGTTTGTGGGGGCAATAAGCTGACTTTGTATAAATATACAAAAGTATGAAGGCTATTGCTTAACGCACTGTAAGCCGCCCTGAGTCTCCGGAGAAGGGCGGCATATAAATCAAAAAAAAAAAAAAAGAAGAAGAATATCTAGAGAGATTCACAGTCATCCAGGTCATGGTTGTCCCAAAGGTGCTTTTTCAAGAGGAAGCTGGACTTTCTTGTTTTTCTGTGGAGACGTTTCACTTCTCATCTAAGAAGCTTCTTCACCTCTGACTGGATGGTGTGGAATGGAAAAATTTATATTCCTTGCAGACAGCTGGTCACTTCCATCCTTTTAGAGAGTTGTTGAGGCCACCATCTAGTTGGAGTTAAAGAGGCTTCTTGGATGTGAAACGAAGTGTCTCCACAGGAAAACAAGAAAGTGCAGTTGCCTCTTGAGAACCACCTTTGGGATGATGGAGGAGAGAGGGGGAATGGATAGGAAACCTCAGGAAACAAAGTGCTGAAGGGAGAAGGAGAAAGAGAAATGGTTAAGACTGGCGAGTCCAAAGAGGAAAAGCGACAGGCCTCCCCACTGTCCTAACATATCTGCTCTTGGTCACCTGACTTTCTCTCCAAGATAATGGGGGAAGGGAAATCTACTTTGGCTGTGGTTGGAAAGGGTCAGAATAAGAGGAGAGGAAAAGACTAGTTTTATACTAGTACAGCTAATGATTAGATTCAGCCAGTCTAACATATATTGTTTCCCCTTCTCAAGAAGGATGCAGCAAGATCTATTTTCTTTACCCAACTTCTTTCCAATCATCTGTCAGGCTGGAAAGGAGAAAAGCCTTGGATGTGATACTATTATGATTTAACACTCATAAGAAAGCAAAGGACAGGACTTTACAAAATGCTAAAAATTCAAGCCATTGATTCCAGGTATCGGTGTGGTTCTAAACTGTCCACACTTCAGAACTTACCTAAATTTCTATTTTTTAAAACTGGGTGGAAAATGCACAGAAGGGATGAGGAGGTGGGGGTGGCAGGAAAACCTGGTATTGATTTCAACATGTGCAGCTGTATTCTATGCTATATAGCCGTGATGGCGAACCTATGGCACGCGTGCCACAGGTGGCACGCGGAGCCATATTAGTGGGCACGCCAGCTCAGCTCTGGGGCGCATGCGCGGGCCGGCCAGCTGATTTTCGGGCCTTCTGGGCCCACCAGAAGTAGGGAAACAGGCTGTTTCCTGCCTCTGGAGGGCCTGGGGGGGGGGAGGGCCCGTTTTTTTTCCTTACCTGGGCTCCAGATCCTCTCTGTGTATCTGGGAACAGCGAAAACAGCCTTTCCCACTTCCTTGGAGGCCCTATGGAGGCTCAAAGGGCCCATTTCCCCACTCCCGGTGGGACAGGAAGTGATGTTTTTCCTGTCCCCAGCCTCCAGAGACTCCTAGAGAGGCTCCTAGAGACTCCTAGAGAGGCTCCTAGAGACTCCTAGAGTGGTTCTGGAGGCTGGGGACAGCAAAAAAATGTCACTTCCTGTCCCACTGGGAGTTGGGAAATGGGCTTTTTCAGCCTCCGTAGGGCCTCCAAGGGAGTGGGAAAGGCTGTTTTCGCCATTCCCAGATACACAGAGAGGATCTGGAACCAGGTAAGAAAGAAAAACGGGCCTACCAGGCCATCATGTGCCAGGAGCGGGGGGGGAGGGGGAGGGGTTGCACACACATGCGCGTGGGCACGTGCACGCACAACCCTCCCCCGCCCCCCCCTCTTCTGGCACACGATGGCAAAAAGGTTAGCCATCACTGCTATATAGAATTCTCAAGCATTCCTTTGTGTTGTGTGAGCACCCAAGCCCTACTGTAAAACAACCAAATGTTTACAGGGACATAGTCAAACGATATGTCTAAAACACATTTACCATTTAAAAAATAATCTATCCCCCTACCCACCCAAAAAACCCAAAACAAAACAAAAATTGGAGAAGAAAGAAGAAATCTACAAACTCCTACACACTTTTTACCTCGATGACCAGAGGATTGCTTGCCCTTATTTAACAAATATATATACATACATATACATATACATATACATATACATATACATATACATATACATACACATACATACATACATACATACATATAAATGTAGGTCTGGTTATTCGGGTTTTCTCCCGTGTAAAATTGGAGGTGTCTTGGCAACGTTTCGACGAAGTCTCATTCGTCATCTGGTGGTGGTCTCGGCTTCGTGCTTCTAGGAGCAATGTGTGTGATCACAGCTGTTTCTTCCTTTTAACTGCCAGTGGGGGTGTGAACTGATTGGGTGGGAGCTTGGCTGTGTTCTGATTGGGTGGAGGTGTGTTCTGATTGGTTGGGGGTTTGGCTGTGTTCTGATTGGATGGGGGTTGGCTGTGCTCTGATTGGCTGGGTGTGTGTTCTGTTTAGGTGGGTGTTTAGGTGGGGGCTTTAGGTGGGGGCACAAACCGCTATCTGCATGCACTCTCACACCACCACCCAGCACAGATCAACTCCGCAGCCAAGACACTCATCTCCAGAACAAAACGCTTAGCTGACGAACAACACCTAAAAACCGAACTACACACTCTCACTAACGTACTAACATCCAATGGATTCCAAAGAAATAAGATCACCAACCTAATCCAAAAAGAAACCCCCACTAAAATCCAAGACAGAGAACAAGAAAACGGCAAAGCCCTCCTCCCATACATAAAAGGCACCACAGACAGAATCAGCAAGATCCTCCATAAACACAACATCAAGACAGCATTCTGCACAAACCGAAAAATATCCACCATCCTAAGAAACCCCAAAGACAAAATTGAGTTAGAAAATCACGGAGTATATGAAATCCCTTGCACCGCCTGCCCCACCACATACATTCGACAAACCAACAGAAGAATAAGTGCACGCATTGAAGAACACAAGAACTCAGTTAGAAAAGAGGAACCAACTTCTTCCCTGGTCCAACACCTCAAAGCCACAGGACATGATATTGACTTTAAAAAGACCAGAACTATCACCAAAACTGAACACTTTAACAACAGAATAATCAGAGAAGCCATTGAGATAGAAAAATGTCCACACAGCATGAATAAACGAGATGATACCTCCCGCCTGCCAGCCATTTGGAAACCCACCCTTATTGTCAAACGAGTCCCTAACACAAAGAATGACACCAGACCCACACTCACGAGAGCCACATAGGATGTAACCACCACACATCCACGCAGAAAACAGACTCAAACCCACACTGATGATCAGGCACGACCACGGACCAGAAGCCAGACCACAGCTGCATCATTAGCCACTTTAAACCCCTCCAATCCATACATGAAGCAGACTGACACCCAACATGAAGAGATGGCAGGGCCACGGACACGAAGCCAAACAACAGCAACACAGCTCACCAGCTCAAATCCCCCTGCTACTCAGACTAACCCGAGCACAACCAAGCCCCCACCTAAACAGAACACACACCCAGCCAATCAGAGCACAGCCAAACCCCATCCAATCAGAACACAGCCAAACCCCCAACCAATCAAAACACACCTCCACCCAATCAGAACACAGCCAAGCTCCGACCCAATCAGTTCACACCACCACTAGCAGTTAAAAGGAAGAAACAGCTGCGATCACACACATTGCTCCTAGAAGCACAAAGCCGAGAACACCAGCCTGAAGATGACGAATGAGACTTCGTTGAAACGTTGCCAAGACACCTCCAATTTTACGCGGGAGAAAACCCGAATAACCAAAGACCTACATACAAACAGCCGCGAAAACCTCAGAAAACACACACACACGCGCACACACACACACACACACACACACACATATATATATATATAAAGTCAAATGAAATAGAACACATGCCTTTGGGACTGAGACTTATTCAAAGAAAGATTTCACCCAAAAGCCAAAGGGTCTGGGATATCTTGGCTGCATACATCTCCTTCTAGATTCTACACATGAAGCCAAAATTTAAGAAGAGGTTGGTTTACTTACGATCATAATTCTAGGGTCAAATGCCGAAACGTTGACGACCACCTCACTTATATAGAGCATGATACCAGTTAATGCCATTATAGCACTTGTGATGTTCATTCCTACACTGCATTTCACCTGAAACATCAAAACACCAGAAGGAGAGAAATTACAATTACAGTGTTAGCATAAGTCTTATTAAATACAAAGCACTAAAATAATTAGCCCCAACTATGGTAAAAACAGTGACAAAGAAATTCTATGTGGGTGCTTAATGACACATAACCAGTCAGTAGTGAAACCAGACAACATCCACTTAGATCATAGGAATCAAACAGCAGCAATAACAGAGTTTTCCACAGTGGAAAGGCAACTGCCACAATTCATTTGAGGGCTTTTCTAACGCTATCAAATTCCTTCTTTCTGTTTCTGGATGTCAGCCTCTACTGAAAGCCAGGTGGTTAACAGTGACAGGAAAACTGGTAAGGATTATTCACTCTTAACATTTTGGTTAAAGAAATCACACACTGTTTATTCTAGGACACAATGCACTCTAAGCATTAAATGTTAATGTTAAATGCTCTTTTAGCTATTACAGAGAGGCTACTAGAGAGATGAGAATGGAGAAACCCTTGGAGCCAGCAGTAAGAATACTGAAAAGTTAAACATTGGTCTGTCTTTAGTCCTCCCCTGTCAGGAATATAGTATTTTTCTATCAAGATGATCATTTTTCTTCTCTGGAATCCACACTGTGTCCCTTTACAAGACACAAACATTTCTATGTTGCCATGAAAACACTTTAATGTAACTTGTAATGCTCTCTACATGGGGCTCCCCTTGAAGAGCACTCGGAGGCTCCAACTGGTCCAGAATGCGGCCGCGCGGGTGGTTATGGGCGCAACTCGTGCCCGCGTGACACCCCTCCTGCGCGAGCTGCACTGGCTCCCAGTGGTCTTCCGGGTGCGATTCAATGTGTTGGTTACCACCTTCAAAGCGCTCCATGGCATAGGACCCGGGTATCTTCGAGACCGTCTTCTGCCACCAATAGCCTCCCACCGACCAGTCCTTTCCCACAGAGAGGGTCTCCTCAGGGTGCCGTCAGTCAAGTTATGTCGGCTGGCAACACCCAGGGGGAGGGCCTTCTCTGTGGGAGCCCCAGCCCTGTGGAATGAACTGCCCCCGGAAATACGTAAGATCTCCGACCTCCGGGTGTTTCGCTGCGCACTGAAGACCCTGTTGTTCCGCCAGGCAGGGCTATCAACATAATTTTAAATTGGGGTATTTTAAATTTTTGGGGTTTTAAATCGGCCAAATCTATTTAATTATTTTAATTTTTAATCATTGTTGTGTCCTGTGTTTTTAAATTGTCTGTACACCACCCTGAGTCCTTCGGGAGAAGGGCGGTATAGAAATAAAATTATTATTATTATTATTATTATTATTATTATTATTATTATTATTATTATTATTATTATTATTATTTAAATCAAGGAGAAATAGGGGAGAGAAAGCAAGTTCTGTGCAGGAGGGCTACCAACCACTCTCTCTTCCCTTTGATTCCCAGTAGGATTCTCACACTTGTTCCATACTTTTACTCCTAACCTGCTGGGCTTCTTTCTAATATTGCTTTCATGTCGGAATACTTCTGAAACTGGACCCGCTGTTGAGGAGGAGGAGAAGGAATAAAGTTGGAGGTCTGGTTCAAGATTAGAGCATACAAGAAGACACCCCTTTGCTCAGGACTAGCACCATTATTAGTAGAAACTAAGGAAGCTCTGGTAGAACAAGCACCCACATCATGGTCATTGACTCTCTCAGCTTCTCTCATTTTTGTCATGAAACTGATAGGACCTGCAGTATTGCAGGTTGCACATCAGGAAGGGAACTTGGCAAGAAGCCCATTGCAAAATGGAGACCAGGGGAGGCTCAAATTCTGGATGGTTCAACATTCTCTATTGTTGATATAGAACTTTCAATAGAAGCAGGACTTGGAAGAAAAGGTTGATCAAAGAAGAAAGTGGGTGTGGGTTTTGAGTTTCTTTTTCTTTCCCAAATGTTGATTTAAGACTGAGCAGTATCTGAAGAGAATTGACACAATAAAAAGTCCTGAGTGCTTACAAAGAAGCTGCATAAAAGAAATTCAAATTCTACGCAGGTTTCTCACCAAACCACGATTTGGACGGTTCGCAGCTGCTACACAAAGTGATCCAGAAGAAATAAACTATGGAAAACGAAAAAGAAAAACAAACGATTGTAGTCCACTGGAAATAAAAGGGGAAAATTATCAGAAAAATCTGGCACTCAGGAGAAGGCAGATAGGCTCCAATGCAAACAGGACTTTTATAGGTATTCTTTAGCCATTACTACCATGGTGCATGACTCAACAAAAATGTGCACATACTTACCAATATCCCACCCAAAAAGGGGTAACCTCCAAATCCAGAGATGGAAAAATAGTAGGAAGGAAAGAGACTAAGCAGGATAGCCCCAAAGCCAATATGGATCAGCCCAATCAATATTTGGACAGCCTACGAAAGGAAAACACAAAATGAGACAACTTCCGTCACTGAATCTGAGAAAGACAAACATGCTAATTTGTTACCAACCAGGAAACGCATCACTTTCTATCCAGCTTTGAAAGGCCCTTCAAAGGTGCTGGGGCTTTTAAAGTTTGCAGTACAGTTGTTGACCCAAAGCAGGGGTGAAATGCTCCGGGTTCAGACCAGATCGGCAATCCATTAGCGATGGCGGTGGGTAGTTCGGAGAACAGGTAGCAAAAATCCCTGCTCCCCCACTACCCATGCCCACCCAATCACTCGGTTCCCACTTGCCCACTTGCTGCTTCTTTCGGGCTCTCTCACTTTTCCTGCCTTGCTTCAGTTGCTGCAATCCATTGCATCAGCTAGCAACTTAATCTGCCTGCTTGAAATCAATCCAATCTGTGAGCAACTCAATCTGCCTGCCTTGTGCCTTCAATTTGGTAAGTAACTGGTTTTTTATTTTTTTGGGGAGGGAGCTTTAAAAAAATAGTTAATTGGGGATTTTTTAGGAGTTTTATTTTTTTAAAGACATTTTAGACATTTAAAGTTAAGGAAGTTTTAAATTTAGCTGCTTTTATCTAAAAATATAAATAAAATAAAATAATAAAATAAAATATTTGTGCAGCTTTCTGAGATTTGGTGTGTTTCTGTAGTGTTTCACTCTAACTACACAAACACACAAAATCTCACAAAGCTGAATGTGGCATTTTGTGTGGAAAAAGTGTGAAAGTTGTTTTTTGAGCTTTTTGTGACTGTGTGAGGTTCCCGCTTGTTGCAGGGGCCATTTTGAGTCAAGTGCAGCTACTTTTACATTGTGTGTGTGTCAGTTGTGTTGTGTTGTGTGTGTGTAAAGTGTGAAAGTTGGTTTTTGGTACCTCCTATTGTTTTGTGTACTTTGTTTATTATTTTTATTATTTATTATTATTGGCCATGCCCACCCAGTCACCTGACCACCAAGCCACATCCACCAATTAAGCCCCATCCACAGAACTGGTAGGGAAAATTTTTAGATTTCACCCCTGACCCAAGGCCTGGTTTCCTATGGTTAAAAACTCAAATGGGAGAAGAGACCGTTTGAGACACCGTTGTCACTATGTACCAGACATTTACTCCAAATTATGATCCAGATTCTAGAGTGATCTACAGTGACACCACTCTTGTCAGGAAGAAGGACTGCAAGAATATCACGATGGGCCTTGGAGAGAGGAATGTCATTTCTCTCACTACAGACTCCTTGGCAGGAACTTAATCACTGTCATAAGCACAAAGAGACTTCAACCGACTTGGGCTGCAGCCAATCTACGACCAGGTTCTTCTGGAGAAATGCCCAACAGTTGCACTTCCCAGAGGGAAGGAAGAAAAACAAACTTCATATCGGAGTCAGGATTTTTTGTAGAAACACAAAAGAAACTACCAGGAATAAAAGAGGTTTCTAGAGTATATTCCAGAACCAGACAATAGCCAAACTAACTTCCCTAACTTCAACATGGAGCTCACAGGTCTTTACATAGCCAATAAAATCTTAATGGACTTCAAAGCAATGCATGCGTACCCCAAGTACTTTGGGCTCAGCATTGAAGAATCTCTCCAAAGGACCCTTTACTTGGACTTGTTGAGGAGCACCACTGGGCAATCCAGGGGCCATTTGGATTATGTTTGCTTCATTAGAGGGGGCGACAACTGTGGTTCCACTGGCCATTCTTGCTGGAAGTGTTGCCAAAGCTAAATTACCTGCAAATAAACTAGTGAGGAAAAGTTAATGTCTTAACATCAAGGAGGCAGATTCTGAAACTGAAGATTGCCAGAAGGGTTCAGGGATATCAGGGAGAAAAGATTAATCAGAACATGGAGAGCATGCTTATATTATTTTTTTCAATGCAAAAAGTGTCTTTCTCATCTTAGCACCACCTCAGATCCACCCAGCTAAATGGCATTTTTCATTTGGGCAAAGTTTTATTGTACTTGCCCTCCTGTCCTGTTATTGGCAGAAGGATCTAAAGGCATCAGGCATAGATGATCATGCTGATTGCCACCTTCCAGCAAGTTCATACCGATTAGGACAGAACAAGTTACTGTGAAGGACACAAGAACAGGGACCTGTATCCCACCTTTACTTCATTGATTTGGTGAGGTTTCTTCTCAGAACACAACTGGACCACCAGCCTGAGTTTTCTGACAAAACCCCGGAAAACCCCAGAAAGAAGCAATTCAGTAAAATCCCAACTGCCATCGACATCTAATAAGGCTCCGGATTTCTAAAACTCTGACCAAAGGGCCCGAATTAATCCCACCAGTTAGGATTTATTCAGATGTTAAAGGGGAGCTACTTCCTTCTTGAGCTGTATTAATTGGAAGTCAACACGAAGCGAAAATCGACCCATCCACCCTCCTCTTTAAACGGTGAACTTCAAATATTGAATCATTGTAAGTTTACACGGCGCCTTTGCGCGTATTGGGCACTTCCATCACGGCAAACTTCCCTGTCCGCTAATTCTCCCCTGAGATCCTCCCGTCTAGAAGACCTGCGGAGGCTGCGTGGCTGAGAAGACCGCGGGTGGATGGCTGCAGGGGAGAACACGGGATGGGCCACATATTCATTCCATATTATTAATTTTTTTAAAGTAATCAGAAACTACTCACGACAACCGCTCAAGACGAGATACACCTAAGCCTCAGGAAAAACAGAAGTACCTTAACAGGAACAAGTGGCTTAAGCAAGGACTCCAGGAAAAAACATTTTTCTTGCCCCTTTAATTGTTGCGAGAAATAACAGTTTCTTGCAACAGGCCAGGAACTTTCTGCTTGTTCAGAGATGAGAGGGAAACTGTCCAAGTTTATAAAGTCCTGTTATTTCAAGGCTAAAAAGAATCACTGAAATCAACCTCATCCCTCGGCGTCTCTTTCGCTTCCCTCTTTCTCCCAAAGTACGCAAGTCCCGCGCTTGGAGGGGGCTCATTTTCAACCCCTCGGAGGCTTCCACAATCTTTGCAGGAATCGCCAGAAATAAAAAGCAGGGCACGCGCATTGCGATCACAGCCTCCCCATGTCCCCCCCCCCCACCCCGCCCCACAGCTCTTTAAGTAGCCCTCGTCCAGCGGAGGATTCTTTTTCCCCCCACCGGCGTTTTCTGTAGCTTTCGGGTTGCTCTTTTTAGCGCTCGAACAGGCAAAGCCACAACGGTGTGAAGGGAGGCTGGAGGGACTCGATCCCAGCCTCCGATTGCGCTCCCTGCGAAACTCTCCCTGGAAACCTCAGAGGCCGCTGAAACATCTGGACCGATGCCAATAAATAGATGCCAAAGGGAAATATTCTCCGTGTATTGGCAAAGTTAGGATGGGTAAATCTATTATGTTTCCTTTTGCACTGATTTAAACTGAACATTTGCTTTTTGGCTGACTCTTGAAAGATACACTTCCTCTCTATTGGAGAGACACCCCCCCCCACTTCTTTCGGGGTGCATGTTACACGGGAGCCCCTTCTGGAGTCCTGATCCTCCTATTGGTATTTTGTATTGGGCTGTTCTATGAACGTCTATGGGTGTGTGAAGAACAGGTCGCTTCAATGCTATAATAGTGTTTTAGAAGGGGAGACGTCTGTCCCCCTCCCCCTCTAGATGAGCTATGCTATTCCCAGATGTCATCTAAAAAGCAGCTTGCCGTTATCTCTTTTAGATGCCAAGATAATTTCCCTATATTATGATTGGCTTTACAGTCTTTAATTGATGGACAATGTGGCTATATAAAAATTATCAATATTTAATTTATATAAAGGCCATATTATTGCACTGGAGGAAACAACTGAGTATCAGAAATACTAATACAGCGTAAAGAAATCAAAGAGAAAAATAAAGGCAAAAGTGCAGAAAAAAATATAAAAAGTGAAGACAAAAGCTTCCTATTTTTTGTGAGCAAATATAAACATAATTACAAAATTATCTCTTACTCTATGATTACCAAAAAGGTCACTTTTTCTACTATGTATTTTTCTTCTAATTATGAAAAAGTCTAGTCAAAAGTTCATTTTAGGAGCCCTGATGGCACAATGGTTAAAGTTCAGAATCGCAGACAAACTCTGTCCACAGTCTGGAGTTTGATCTTAGTGGGGCTCAAGGTTGATTCAGCCTTCCATCCTTCTAGGGGTCAGTAGAATGAAGACCCAGATTGTTGGGGGCAATATGCAGATAATGCTTCAACATTGTAAACTACCCAAAGAATACTGTAAAGCACTAAAGGGTGGTTTATTTATTTAGTGTATGGCTGGTCACACACAATATTAAAACACTTCATTTTTACAGGTTAAAACAATTAGAACAATTAAAAAAAAAGTAGTAAGAAAACCTAAGAGGAAAAACAGAAATAACATTTCAGAGTTTAATGTCGAGTTTGGAGATCCAGTCAGTAGCTGTCGTTGTTACGCAGAGGAAGTCCCTAAAATCTCCTGGATAGCTTCTGTTAGAGCAGTGGGTCTCAACCTTCCTAATGCCATGACCCTTTAATACAGTTCCTCATGATGTGGTGACCCCCAACCATAAAATTATTCCTAAGACCATTGAAAATATGTGTTTTCCGATGGTCTTAGGCGACCCCTGTGAAAGGGTTGTTCGACCCCCAAAGGGGTCCCGACCCACAGGTTGAGAACCACTGTGTTAGAGCATTCCCTCACTATATGTTGGATAGTCTGGGGGGGGGCGCAATCACATTGTGCTGAAGGTGTCTTTTGGCACACACACCATGAGTCGTTCTAATTCTATTGTATGTCACCCATATGTGTCGGGGTAGATTAAATCCTGGAGGTATACTATTAGGATTAATATGCTCAGAAATATCTTGGGGGGAATAGCTACTCCACGCTTCTATCCACTTTTGTGTGGTGTTCTGATGATTGGCCAGCAGCTTAAGCGCTGTCAAGAATGGTGGATTTCTTGACTTTAATCGGCATCTTAAGAGATCAGGAATGTAGCCATGAATGGGTAGAGAGGAATTTAACAGGATCTTATTATGCTCCCGAATGAGAGCTTATTGTCATCGTAAGTGCGGGGGAGGTATGTGACTAAGAACTGGTAGCCAGTAACTAGGTGTAGATTTTATGCACCCAGTAATTAGCCTCATCGTATGGTTAAGTTGAACATCAATAAGTCCTGTATGTGAGTTGTTTATCCATACAGGTGCGCAGTATTCCGCTGCAGAGTAGCAAAGCCCGAGGGCTGCACATCGAAGAGTTGGGGCTGAAGCTCCCCAAGTTCTTCCGTATAATTTTTGTAGAATGTTATTTCTGCTGTTGACCTTGGCAGCCACATTCTGAATATGTTTTTTAAAAGACAGAGTCCTGTCTAAGGTGACCCCAGGTATTTTGGTGTTGCCTCATATGGGAGCAGTTTGTTGTTTAGGTATGCATTGAGTCCTTTTTTTGCCAATTTGTTGTTAAGGTGAAAACATGATGTAACTGTTTTACTTATGCTTGGGATTAACCTCCATTGGTGGAAGTAAGTGCTCAAAGTTGTAAGGTCGGCTGTAAGTACGCCTTCTGTAGCTTCGATGTCCTTGTGGCTATATGCTAATGCCAGGTCATCAGCATAAGAGAACTTTGTTGATAGTGTGGGTGGTATATCGGAAATATATAAATTAAATAGAGATGGGGCCAGCACGGAGTCCTGAGGGAGTCCGTTATTCAGGTGTCTTTGCTTACTGATTTTGTCACCCATGATGACTTGAAAGGTCCTTGCTGAAAGCATGTTATTTATTAGGCGGCCCATAGTCCTACAGGAGACAGCGTGGAGGAATTTATTTAATAGGCCCTCTCTCCATACTGTATCGTATGCTGCTGTGAGATCCACAATTACAACAGATGTTTTCCAAAAGGGTAGTATATAAGCCTAAATACTATTCTTAATGCTATTTTTTCTGTTTCATGCAAAATTTCTGAGAGGTTTCCAGTCTGTCCAGTCTTTTCTCTAATCAAGGAAGTCAATTTAGCCTTGTCTGCAAGTTCCATCATTTTCACCAACCATTCCTCTATTTTTTTTTTTTTTGTAAAGAATTTTTTATTTTTTTTCCAACATAAACATAAAAAATAATTTTTTTTTCAAGAACGAAGTCTTGGTCCGGTCACAAACGGGTACACTATTTTAACAAATGAAAAACAATCAATTTTAACATAAATTCCAACATCTTAATAAATGTTTCTATTATCTCATCACACATCCTAATCTCCTACTAAGGCAAAACTCCTTTTTATATTCAATTATAAATTCAATTATAAATCAAAATTCAATACCGCTTTATCTAAATTTTTTATCCCTTGCTCCTTTTAGCATCAACATTAAACACAAAGACAATCAATTCTATTAATCTATATACTTACCTTACAATTTTATCACCACAAATCTTAATTTCCAAGTGTATACAACTCAATTCTTATTTCAATTTTAATCAAAAAATTTTATTTTTCTCGTTTTCTAAACCCAATCTATCCTATCATGTTCTTAATCTTTTACACAGAAATCTCAAAATTTACCATTTCATTTTTAATTATTACCCAACATTTTCTTTTTCACCCCTTATTAATAATTATTCTTCAATATATTCTCCTTCTCCTCCTCCATTACTCCACCTATTATTTGGCTGATTTCCAGCATAGCATATTTTGGCTGAGTTTTCAGTATATTATCCTCCTTAACTCCCCTTTTATTTGGCTGATTACCAGCATTTTCCATTGTTTTGGCTGATTTCCAGCATATTTTGTTTTGGCTGATTAACAGCATTCTCCTCCTCAACTCCACCTATTATTTGGCTGATTTCCAGCATTTCATTATTTGGCTGATTTCTCAGCATATTCTCCTCCATTAACTCCAACTTCTATTCTACTAACAGAATGGTCCAGAATGCGGCCGCGTGGGTGGTTATGGGCGCAACTCGTTGTGCCCGCGTGACACCCCTCCTGCGCGAGCTGCACTGGCTCCCAGTGGTCTTCCGGGTGCGATTCAAGGTGTTGGTTACCACCTTTAAAGCGCTCCATGGCATAGGACCCGGGTACCTTCGAGACCGTCTTCTGCCACCAATAGCCTCCCACCGACCAGTCCGCTCCCACAGAGAGGGTCTCCTCAGGGTGCCATCAGCCAAGTTATGTCGGCTGGCGACACCCAGGGGGAGGGCCTTCTCTGTGGGAGCCCCAGCCCTGTGGAATGAACTGCCCCCGGAAATACGCAAGATCTCCGACCTCCGGGTGTTTCGTTGCGCATTGAAGACCCTGTTGTTCCGCCAGGCCGGGCTATCGACATGATAATTTTAAATTGGGGTATTTTAAATTTTTGGGGTTTTAAATCGGCCAAATCTATTTAATTATTTTAATTTTTAATTATTGTTGTGTCTTGTGTTTTTAAATTGGCTGTACACCGCCCTGAGTCCTTCGGGAGAAGGGCGGTATAGAAATAAAATTATTTATTTATTTATTTATTTTATATTAAAAATTTCTTTTTCCATGTTATCTATTAATCCACTATTTCCAACTATACTCTTCCAGGGTGTTTCCCCATTTATTTCTTAATATTAATCATTCTCAACATATATTAAATGCAATCATAATGATAACTTCCATTTGTGTACCTTAATACATAATCAAAAATCATTAACAATTAATCATAGTTATCATCCACGACTTTGTTATCAAATTAAAACTAAGCATGTTACAAGTTATGCTTTTATGAACATATCACTTTTATTTTATTTTATTTTATTTTATTTCAAATTTATATACTGCACCTTCTCCCAAGGGACTCAGGGCAGTGTACAGCCAGATAAAAACATACAATACAAACATTAAGAACAATTAAAAGAGTATATATTAATTTGGCCCCAGTTTAAAATGACAAACCAATTAAAAATTAAAAATTTAAAAATATGTTAAGCCAGCCCGGCTTGATGAAAAAAGAAAGTTTTAAGGGCACGGCGGAAGGCACCAAGGTCTTGGATTCTCCTTATCTCAGGGGGCAGCTGGTTCCATAGGGTAGGTGCCCCCACAGAGAAGGCCC